TTTGTAATCCAGTATCAATAAGTCTCTAAACAACTTTGCAAACTTACTTTCAATAATCTATAACATTTTTAAAGTAAATCAAAATATTATTTAGATATACTATACAATTCTTATTTAGAAAATCAAAAAGAATATAATTGATATAATTCTGAAATGAAACAGAAGTATTACAAAAGCCGAAAAGCATTACCAAGAATTCGAATAAACTAAAACAAATTGTAAAAGTGGTTTTCTATTTGTGATTTTTCATAATCCATAATTTATTAAATATAGCGATAATATTTAATTTGATATAAACTTTAGTATAGTATAAAGCATCAAGGGTTTCTTTGATTAGTAATAATGGATAACGATTTTTAATAGTAATATTGTTCAATCTATAATAATCCTAGCAAATTCGAATACCCTTTTTGGGCTTTATAGTTAAAAGAAATAAAGTAGCTAATCAAGAATAGGATTTATAGATAAATCCTTTATTTAGGTTATTATCAAGTTATTTATAAATAATTTAAAGCTTGATTAAAGATATTAAGCAATCTTTATTGTATAGGGGCTCTTTGTCTGGTATAATCTCGATCTTGTAATCTCAAGAGTGTTGTAGTAAGAGCTTGTTGGTAAGAGAGGGTAAGAACTCAGCAAATAGATTATAAAGCCAGAATAATAACTTGCTCTAAATCTCTATTATAGATGGTATAAGTTGATTGGTTTTTTTTATAAACTTTTTGATATTGTTTTTTATAATATTGTAATATAATTGAATAGGATTATTTGTTATTATATAATGTAACTTATAAGCTCTATCTAATTCATTTCAGATTACTTTTGTAATATAAATTTCCTAATCTTTATAGAATTAAATAAAGCTATTAGTTATAAGGAACTTTATATTGTTTATTTTCTATTAGATATTTTGTAAGGTATTAATTGGTTTCTCAAAGAGCTTCTATAGCGATAGAAAGTTTAATAGGGATAAAATGTTTTGGTTTTGTGATAATCTTTTGTGTATCCTAGAGCCTGCAATGATTCATATTAGAATTAGTTTTAAAATCGGTCAATTTAATATCATCTTGGCACAGGTTTCTGTTTTTCTATTGATTCGGTGAGTATAGTAATAATTTGAATCGGATAGCATTAAATCAACAGGATTTATATTCTAGAGGTTTTTATTAGTATTCTTCTTTATAACTGGAGTCGGAGGATTGTATTCCAAAAGTATCGATTAATCTTGAAATGAGAAGAAAGGAATTTGAAGATTTTTATTAATAACTTCTTCAACAAAAGCATAATATAAGGTTAAGATAGATTTCTTTAAAATAGATTTCAAAATAGATTTCCTAACGGGTATACATGGTATTGGATTGAATACTATATCTACTGAGATTAGCATATTGTTATAATTGGGAATAATAATTATAATAGAGTTAATTAGATAGCAATATCTAGAGTAATATATGGACGTAAACTTAAGAGTTATTGTTACCCAATTAATAATAGGGTTATAGTATTAAAGCTATAGAAGACTGAGGATTATAGGGTCTGTATCAGAAAGATTGATAATATAGAATAAGCCAATTTCTTTATAATTGTTAATCCATAGATCTAATAGTGTATATTGAGATAGAATATCAAAAATCCTTCTATCTGCAAGTAATAGGTTGCGGGTAGTAGGGAGGGGATGTATAGGGATATCAAGCTTGGATATAAGGGTTTTATTTATAAATCTATATCTTGCGGTTTTATTATTTATTAAGCTAATAAATAGAATAATCATATTAGATATAAGAAAAATTTCCATTGAGATTTTAAGAGATTTATTATTCATTATTCTAAGATATAAAGAATCTCTAGATATAATTAATCTCTTAATCTACAAAAACAAACTTTCTATAAAAAACCTTGATTTGTAATTATAAATCAAGATTAGTCTTTTAATATACTTAATTAAGAAATTGAATTTCTATTATTATTCAAATATACAAAGCTTTTAATAAATCTACCCAAATCTTTATTATCAATAAGAACTAGAAAAGTATATCAAAATAATATTGCAATAATCGGAAAACGATTAGCAGGCGGGAATGTATTCTAATAAATAGGACTATAAACATTGTGATAGGATTTGGGATTGTGATGATAATTGGTAATAGGAAAACAATGGATATTTGAAGTATGTTGGTTTATAATAGAAAGATGATCGGGGTATTGTATAGTTTTTGAGTTAGTATTATATTTTATATCATTACATTGCTTTTCTTTGCAATTGAATTTGATATAACCAGGTTTTTTGTAATAAAAATAGAGATCAAGATTTAGATATTGTTCTTTATTGTAATATAATAAGAGTTGCTGGCCTTGGCGAGCAGTATCTAATTGTATAGAATTTCTAGAGGGATTAGGTATAGATATTACAATAGTGATAGCAGGCTTCTTTTTATTGGGTTTTTTCTAATCACTGAAATTGGTGCTTTGGTTTTTATATTGATTATCAAGATAAATCTTTTTCTTTAAATTATTATAAATATCTTATCACTAGATTATCTATATATCGATATTAATAGCAGAAAGTTTATTAGAGTAATTAACTGAAATATCGATTAATTCTTATAAGACTTTGAATTTAAAATCAGTAATTTATTATTTAATAGTCTTCTTGCATTTAATAGCGAACTGTTTGAATTTAGTAATAAAGTTATTAAATAGAGTCTTCTTTATTTTATATTTATTATAATTTATAGAAACTTTGTATAAAAGATCTAGAGTCTAGTATTACTTATTTAATTCATGTCAGATACCTGCTATAATATGCTATTTAAAGGGCTAAAGATCGGAATTATATGTATTGTCTATAATTATATCAAAGTATATCTGATTATTTGTATAAACAAGACCAAAAAGTAGGCTAGCAAGAAATGTGATTTTCTGAAACTCTAATTCATTTTTGTAATCCGTAGTTAAGTAATAATTAACTATATTATGAAAAGTTGTGTATTGATTTTAGTACTTTGTGATATCTTACTTATTATTACTAAACTTTTTGGGGGTAATGAAATATTTGTGATAAGGTAAAGCTTGTAAATTATTGTAAATAGTAATCTTCAATATCTTAATTATGTTTTTTAATTCAATAATCTTTGATTAAGCATTGATGGTTTAGATCTAAATAATAGCAGCTTGGGTTTATAATAAGTCTGTAATCAATTCAATCAATTCAAATACAGTTTAAGCAATAGTGAAGTATGTAGTGTTTGAATTATTAAATAGATTTGTAAAAAAAAAGATATCGGTTTTAGCGGAATTGAGAATATGATTCAAGAAAAGGAATTACGAAGGTAAGCCAAATACAAGTGCTTCTAGTATAAATACTTGTTTATCTATCTTCAGCACTTTTTGAGGTTCAAAATATTGGTGGTAGGATATATAATAGATCAATAGTGAGTGCGATTAGTACGATCAGGATAAGGCGTTGGTGGGGCTTTGGAAATAAAATAAGAAATAAAGCTGTGATAGTTTATTTGAAGATAATATAAACTATCAAGGTATAGATAAAGACTTATATTGTATCATAAGGATAGAAAAGCTATAAAAAAGTGAAGCCCTACTTATAGGAAATAGGGCGTGCTAGTATGCTGTGCCTGAGGCACGAAGGCAACTACAGATCATGTAGTTGGCGCCGTGACACTTTAATATCCATAGAGATATAAAAAGTCGCTCTAAGTACCTTTACATACAAATTTTGGTGTAAAGGTACCTGACCCGGTTCCCCATATGACCCGGTTCACCATAAGTTACGTTATAAGAAAAACACTAATAAATAAAATATAAGATAATATAATATTCAAGAGATATTTTTGAAAATTTAATTTTTTAATATAGTATTCTAGAGATATAATTATTATTTATATTAACATTGATAAATTAACTTATAATATCAATTTATAATCGAATTTAAAATTCAAAATTATTGAGAATATTATAGAATTTGAACATATTTTCTAATAAAAAATTCTTTTTAAAAAGTATACCAAATAATTATATTCAAATATTTTAATAATATGTTTTATTTATATTATTCTTCCTTTTTATTAATTTTTAATAAAATTAAATATCATTTTTAATTAAAATTATATTATATATTTTCTATTATTAAAATATTTCATTTTATAAATAAAATTTAAAAAATCATTTTCTATTTTTAAATTTTATCAAAATATATAAATATATTTTAAAAAAATCTTTCAATTATTTTTTATCTTCAAAAAAATCATATATATTTTTAAAACTTTTATAAAACTTTAATTTCAATATTTTTTGAAATTTTAAATTTTATCTCGATAATATTATATAAAATAATTCAATAAATTAATTCTAAAATCTTATAAACGAATTCTAATATAAGCTTTTATTAAATTATTAATATTTTAAATTAATATCATTTTAAATCAATCAATATTTTATTCGTTTTTTAAATTTTTCAAAACTTCATTATTATATTACAATAATATCAAAGTTCTCATTAAATAATTTTAAAATGATTATAATAATATTTCGATTTATAATCTATTTTTGTTTTGATAAATAAAAGTGTGCAAGATACAGGATTGTGCAAGATGTAGGGATATCGGTTACAGGTGGCCTGTGTAATTCTTTACTCTACTATCAATATCAATCTCAATCACTACCGCTCACCATTTTATTCATAAGGCTATGTCAAGTGAGGCTTCGTAGTAAACAATTTCGCGCTTGTTATTTAGGTTACAAAGTGGCTAACATCATACTAGAAGGATATCTGCATCATAGTTACCATTGGTCTTCCCATCGTCCTCGATCATTTATCGCTAGGAATGAAGTTTTCTGGTGACCTATTATGTTGTTTAGAAGAAATCGACTTCGCTACCATGCCCGTTGTCTACATCATCGCGTTGTCTTTATCAAAGACCGTGCCTATTTTCCCGCCAACCAATAGCGCCATGCAGAAAACCTCTCATAAGCAATGCCAAAATCTACTTCAAGAACAAGTCTCCCATGCCAGTCCTTGTGTTTCGTACCTTATCAACGTGATCTAATCCGAGTTGGTCGTCATCATCCCCAAGCATATCCCATAATGTATCGTCTACGAGATGTTTAGTTAGGGCAGATGAAATTTGTCATAGGTCATAACTCACCATCATTCAAGTATATAGGTTTGGTGTAAGAGCTCCTCTTGACAATGGCAAATTTGACCTTCTCAAGGTTTTTGCCTTTTATACCAGTCCGCTTCTCCAGTCGCTTCTTAGTGTCGGAAAATATTTCATCCTGGAGCTGTCAGTTGTAGACCTCAAGATTGAGAAAACGGCGACTTACTTGGAAGATGAGAAATTTGAACGGAATTGAGTGCGCTTTGGTTGGATCACTGTGGAAGTGAAAGGCATGAATATACTGACTGCCATTCGGTTGCGCAAGCTCTTCTTCCGGTATTCGCTCTAGTATAATCGAAATGTAATCGGTAAGATCCTTGATTGGATGACCACGGGAAAGTTCTCTGTGAATTTTGTTGCTGTGTGTTTCATATACTCGGATAGGTCCACCCTTTTCTTCGTCTTCTAATCGTGCTTTCTTAATCACCGAGGACACTATATCATCCACAGTTCCAGTTTTAGGCACCAGTATATCCAGTGGTTCCTGCGATCAATTAATACCCTTCCCGGATTTACACCAATAAATTAGACAGGCTTACTTCTTTTGTGACACCTTCGCTGATCCAGCTAACCTTCATAGGTTTCTTGGTATCCAATTCCGCGAGACTGATGTCAAGGACTTCGAAAAATAAAGCATCTGACCTAATAGTGGTGCCAGCAAATGACGCGTAACTACTGCTGACCATGTTGACCAAAGTATGATTCGACGTGCGTCTGATCGCGGTTTTGGGATTACCTGTATTCAAAGCAATAGTCCAAAATCTGATATGAGTCGGTTCCACATTCAGCTTCTCTCCAACCTTGGCAGCTACCTGATCATAAGTGTGCTTTGCACTTAATACCAGAGTGAATGATTCGCAATTGTCTATATTAAATTCTTTGCTTCCTCTGGTTGGATGGCAATGGAAAGTAATGAGTCTTCGATGACGGAGGAAGTCGTAGTATAGTCGCGCATCATCTATGATGTCAGATGATTTGAGAGGCTGCTGGCGAGGGTTTAAGCCATTGGAGACCACGGTAGTAGAATCCGAGCCACTGCTGCAGTTAGCATCATTCTACTTTCTCACATATTCAATCAAGGAACTTACTCGCTTCCAACACTTCCTTCCAAAGCTCTCTGGAAACAAACAATATCGCCATCTTGGAGTTCTGCTGCCTTGAGTGATTGTTTCGCTTTCATAGGTTCGATCATGTCCGGTTTTATCTCCTATGCGATGTCAGAAAAATACGATAAAATGTAAAAAGCACCAATCATACCTCGTAGAGCTTCAATCTAGTGTCCTCTGGCCAATTCATACGTTTCAAGATGAACGGGGCCAATTCTTCAACTTTACTCTGGCTACTGATATAAATGTGACCGCATCCAACTAAAGACTGGGTATCAACATTGAACCATTTGAGAAATATGACAATTTCATCAGATCTACTTGGAGACGACCCTTCCTTCACTAACGGATGAGCTGGCCACACCGCATCGCCGTTAGAATCAACTGTTTCGGCTGTTTCGGCCCAAAGCCTCAGCTCCTGTGTTTTACTACCAGCCAATTTCAGGTGAGCTTCTTCAATGGTTTGATCGTAGTCCAGAACAGGCGTGTCAGGTCTTGTTGTTTTGTTTTGACGATTGACCATGAACCAGACTCGTAGTCTTCTCGGATCAGTTCCAGTATCCTTACCAATCACTTTGATGAGCTCTCTTATAGTACACTTCTTGAGGAGTTTATAGGATTTAGCAGCCGCAGGATCTTCGTCATGACTTCTGTCAAACACTGTAAGATCATGTCCACCATGGGCTGCGTAAGTCTCCTGGGTAATCACCCTGACAGTAAGGTACAAGTGCTGTTCTTCTCGTTCCCTCCGTCGTGCTTCTTTGAAAGCGGCCTCCTCTTCAAGTTTTCTTTCTAAATGGTATTAGTTCAGTTCCAGGCCGGCTAGAATGTAATAACTTACGGAGATGAGCCGGCGTATCGGCGTTCGTTACGGGGAGCAATACCTCATCGAGTCTTGCCTCGCGAATGTAGACAAGCATGTATGCGCTGTTGTGTCGTATGATAGGTTTTTGTGACGCATCATAAACTTGACCATTCAAAAGGGGCATCTCTCCTCCATAATTATCCTCCAAAACTTCTCGCATTGTGGCTTTTGTTACTTTATCGTCATCATATTTGTAGAACCACCCATCCTTTTCGGGCTTGATGAATGCATAATAATGTCCTGCATTGAGGTCGCCGCTGTGTACAAGGACCCCATGCAGCTTATAAATCCAAGATTCGGATCTATCTGCGTCATCTGATAGATATGGTGCGGCATCAAAAGTATCTGGAATTCGTAAACGATCATTGACCTTCATCATGGAATCTCGCTCAATATCATATTCAAATCTCTTGAGCTGCAAATGAAGAACTTCGGGAAATGATTCAAAGATGACACCTTTCTTCGCATCTTGAAGTTTGTGGGTTTCGCCTGCGAAGTATTGGTTGTCGCCATTCCATTGTCCTCGACTTGAATATAATCCCGGAAACTCGCTTCAATGTCCTTGTTACCGCTAACATTCAATTGAACGTCCCAAAAATCTTCTACTCGGCGAGATTCGTAGTCAACATTGATGCAAGAGATATAGGTTCGCACTTTTCCGCAAAACAATTTAGGGAGAACATTTTCAGCTTCAGTCCCCTTCATTCTCTTTTCCATAACCTCCATCAGTTTCCTAGAAAGCTCTTGAACATCTTGCTGTTCAAAAATCTGTTTTGTGTCCCAGCCAAAAGACTTGGTGAGTTCGTTGGTACTCACAGCTGCAGAAGATGACTGCAGCTGATAAAAGAGGCGTTGTAAAGTATATGCGCTGTTTGTGGTGGTGTCCTCGTCTTGTGTTGGAATTTGATATACTGCCTGCAAATTGGGTTTAATTTTTGACCCTCCAGGTAGCTAGTTGCCAATACATACCTTCCGGAAGGCATTAGTAAAATATAGAGACTGAATGAGCGAATTCAAATAACATGTTGCTCCCTGATTTTTTAAGCCGACAAATCCAGTTTCTTTCTTCGAATCATAGTTGTTGAAGTTATGCCATAACACGCCTGTTTCGTCCTCGACTATTTTTACATATGCCGTCATATTTGCTTCTCCGCTCTCAACCAACGGCCTTGGGGGGTTGGATCCAGGCCATACATGAGCATGAAGCTTGCGGGTTTCAACGAATCGAGTAAAGCCCCAGTCCCCTTCCTCTTTGGTAAATCGATGATGCGCAGTGTGGTAAGTGTAAAGAGTTGGATCGTTCGGATTCCATAGAACGAGACCGAATTGCAAACAGCATACAAAGTCGTCCGGAGGCCCGTCTTCAAATCCGTGCTCCAGGTAGAAGGACACATTATCGCTATTATTTCCGTATGGGAACATTAGAATACGCCTAATCTCATCAGCACTCATTGCGCACAAGTTTGGTATATTCCAGGTGGTTACCATGGGTATCCTCCAGCATGAAAGATTGGGCCATGTTCTCTCTTTTGGAGCCCTTGCCAATTTTTAATTTCCCAAGTATGATGAACCGTCTCTATGATCGGGGGCTGTTGATCCAGCGGTGGCAATACCAGCTCTGCTATAGCTTCATCTGTTGTGCACATGTTAGCTCAGTATCCTGACCCTCCATGGTTGGTTTCTTGTACAATCATCAGCAGGCGTTGGCCTAGGTTCATCCGGATCTATGATGGCGATGTCATCCTTCTCATTATCCGATGGCTCGACATACTCGTCCGGATCAACAATCATATTCTCGGGTGATTGTATGTCTGCATCGATAGACTGTTTGCAAGAGATTGAATCAGTACGAGGGTCAGGTACCATGTTGGCGCAAGCAGTACTTGCTACATAAAAGTAGATATGGGATGTTGGAATCATGCGAGGGGTGGAAGTGGGGAATGCTCAGAATCTTTGCTTACAGGATCCATGGTCGCGGTCGACAAAAGGTACAACCAGCTTCTAAACTTTTCCAACGACCTTCTCCGAAGCAGAATAACAAAACCAATGGAAAAGAAACAAAGATAGAAGGAGGGGGGAAGGTAGGAAAGAGGTGGGGGTGCTGAGCAGAGCAAAAGAGAGGAGAGGATGGTAAATTCAAATCAAGCGATGGTATCTCGAAATATTGCTGCAAAATTGTACACTTTGGATAGACTTTTGATAGAGTCTCGATAGTGAATTGGTGTGATGGAAGTTTGAAGGGTTTGAAGTAGTAGTGGGAGCTAGGTGTTGTTTAAATCCTAGTGAGTGTAGTGAGCGTAGTGTAGTGTAGTGTGTGGTATTGTATTGTATTGTATTGTAGGGAAGTGTAGAGTACTGTAGCATAAGTGTAGTGTATGTACTTGGTAGGGCAATCATGAGTTCCTTCCTTCGTTCGGTGTTGTTCTTACCTGGCTTCAATAGCGGGAGATTGTAGCATTCTAATAATTCCAAAGTACTCTTTGTACTAGGTAGGTGAATCGGTGATATAATAATTTAGTCACCTCTCTGGTAGGTAGTTCCAACTTTCTTCCGAATCCGAATTGTGATGCACGCTTGGAGTGGGTTCATTCACGGTGGAGTGGGTTAGCCAGTACGATTTACGATGTGCGCCGTACGGGATTATTTGATTGATGGATGTGAAGGAGAGAATCGCTTGGGTGGTCACAATGAAGTGTGGCGTAAATGCTAATGACGTTTTGCTGATGATTAATGATGTTAATGATGGGGAGGTAGGTAGGAAAGAGCAGGAGGGCGTGCTTGTTTGGAATAAGTTGGATACGGCATGAGATATTAGGTAGCCGGAGGTACTTGATACTCGATTACTCCAGACAGTATCTACTACCTGCTATTTACTGCTACTTATACTACCTAGTTACCTACTGATATTTGCGTGCTTGTTTCATGAGCAACTCATTTTATCTCTAGACATCTAGACATCGACATCGACATCGAGACATCGAGACATTCAGACATTCAGACATTCAGACATTCAGACATTCAGACATTCAGACATTCAGACATCTAGACATCCCAGCCATCCAGCCATTCAGGCATAAGATATTGCGACCTTTTAACCATACCGTCCTCGAGAATCAACATCAGAGTAGTGAGTGTAGTGAGGGATTCATATGTACCTAGTATGTACGATTACCATACCAAGATTCTTGTAGCAAAGTTCTATCAAATGATTCACTCTGCCCCCCCCCCCAAAAATACAAGCAAAAATAACGACTGACTTAAACATCGAAGCTTCAGCAGTGTATAACCTTGGAATACTTAAAAATAAGTACCCAAGCTCCAAATGATTAACATTTGCTCGAGCTCAAAGTTAGAACAGCCCTGATGGGTTTCTTTTATCAACAGCCTAACTGAGACAAGGCTGAGTACTAGGTTGGTATGTAGGTAGATAGGTAGATAGGTAGACCGGCGGTAGATCGGTAGGTCCGCCTTGTAACAATTCTTAGGTATGCACATGATACTCAAGAAGGCAAAGAATTCATAATATTATCTATCTGTCAATATGTCAAATGCAATAAGATGAATTAATCTGATTGCGAATTTGGTCGTATGTTAAATAGCCGGTGGCCCCCTCATGAATGCCGTTGAATTCGAATCCATCCTTACTCAGTCAGCAGAACCTAAGAACTTTTATCACAAACCCACAAAGTCAAAGTACTTACAGCAAAATGATTTGGATGGCGAATTGTACAAAAGAAAACAATGAAATATGATAATTGTTGCTCTCTTCTCAGATGAAGAGGCAATGCATGCTGCGTATGTATCGAGTGTCTATGCAGAGGCGACAAATGTTTACACGACTCAAACTATATCATAGTCATTATATTATATTATAGTTTCTTTGCTATATATGGTATCAGATGAAGCTTATAAACTTCGATGAGCAACTACAAAGCAATGGATATATTGAACGCCCCAATTTAAAACGAATAGTTCCTCCTCAGAACATTAGCCACCCTTGACATTACATCCTCTCGAATTAGACCATAGATCGTGCCATTGATTTACTCTTTCTATGCGGAGTTCGAGGCTTCTCCCTCAGCATATTTGACTGTGAGACCACTCTTCAGTTCTTCCCCCTTTCCTCCGTACTCCTTTGGTAACTTTTCAGCAACATGAGGAATCTCACTGCCAAGATTGGATCCGTAGCTGAGCGGATGGAACTTCTTGATTGTATCGGCGCTCAAAAAGATTTTCATTGCCGCGAAAACCCAACCCATCACCAAGGGAACGTTAACAAAGAACTTCTCCTTCAAAAGCTCAGGATACGCCATGCTGAATGTTTGGATGGTCTCTTTGGATGCAGCACGGATACTGGGGTCCATTCGTAGGAAACTGACATTGAGATAGTCGTGGACTTGGATCATGCGATATGGATCAGGGCCGTTTTCGGGTATCTTCTCCGTTGCTGAGGCAAGATCTAATTCCTTAATGGATAATTCCATAAGTGCTGCTCTCCATTTAAGAAATCTAAGTCATAAAATCAGTACTATATCGACCCACATCTAACGCGTTACTCACTCAGGAACGTCACTGAACGTCTTCTTAACATTTTTGACTGCCCCATAGATGTTCCAAGTGATAACTTCTTTGCCGCCGTCGCTGTTATTATAAGACGTTACATATCCCAGATTACCGAACTTGACCGTGTCGAACTCGGTACTTTCCAAGAGCTTCTGTGGTTGCATGGTCTTTCGCCATTTCAAAGCCTCAATCAATTGAGCCTTGGCTTTAGGAACGTCTTTTGTGTTTGCTCGCAAGAATTTCTCGAGAACTATACTTGTTTGAACGTGAGTTTCCGATGGATCAAGTACAATGCCCCACATCTCATTGTATTCAGCTGCCTCGAGGATTGCCGGCAATTCTGAATAGAATTTTGACAATGGCGAGCCATCATGTGTCTTGGTAGTCTTGTCGAATGAGACTGAGTGTTGAGAGGTTGAAGCTGCTTTCTCCACATCAGCATCTTTGGTAGCTTCTAGTTTAGCGGCTGCTTCCGCGTCGGCTTCTTTGACAGATTCTAGCTTGACGGCTGCTTCCTGGGGTTGTTCCGTAGTGGGCTCCGCGGCTACTGATTCAGTTGTTGATGGCTCTGCGATTGTAGGTTTTGGTTCTTCGGGCGTGATTTGTGGAATTGGAGTTGAGTCATCGATCTTGACTGGTGGTGATTCCGTTGTTGTAGGCTTTGGATCTTGCTCAATTGTAGATTTCGATTCCTCCACCGTTGTAGATTTTGGTTCCACCACTTCCTCTGGGACATCGGCCTTTGCCTGGTTGTTATTGGGTTCCGCACTCATCTTCGCGGTCGTTATTCGACAATGAACTGTTTGTACAGATCAGAAAGTACAGTATCTCCTTCACAAGCTCGGAGCTGCGAATTTATTTCTGTTTGATTTTATTAATCTTGGGCAGGGGACGATTGATTGACATAGTAATTTAAAATCTTTTGATGAACGCAATTCTACTTTCCCTCCCCTCGCCTCTGCTCTAATTATTTTATTTTATAAATCCCGACTCGCCGACGCTAAACGGCCCAGCCCAGCCAAGAGCCAAGCACCGATTAGTAGCATTGAAGTTGACTGCCCTCGAGCTGCCCTCGAGAGTTGGAGCTGACCCAGATCAATTGTGCCAAACGCTTTCGAAGCCTCGAGGGTCAAAATCGAGGGTCAAAATCCCAAGCCAGCCCAGCCTTCTCTTCTTCTTTATCTACCAAGCACGTGGGTGTACGAGCACCTAGGAAGTGGATGAGTAAGTGAGGCTGTGTTTGGATACATGGAAAAGAAACAACCACAACTCAATTTGCCCAAGACTCCAGCTCAAAGAGATACTCGGTAACAAGTCACAACTTTGTATACGACTTTGGTCCACCCACCAACCTCTTCATTAATTTCTTTTTTTCCTTCAATTCAAGTTGTCCAACAAATGATGACGCTTGATTTGAAGGTCCATGTGGAATTTTGCTATACAGTGTATCATCTTCTTTCTAGAACTAATCGCATCCTTGTTTATAGGTCCATTGGTCCCTGACATATATCCAAATGTACAAACGATAATGAGGTGGCTGGAAATGTATATACATACATACTTATCTCCTGCAGCCTCATATATCCATATACCCACACGAGTAGGTGCATGAAACGGTTGATTTTCCATATTCACTTCCATTTAAGGGTACTCACCGATACATTTGTCACATCTTTCTTTGAAAATATTCTGGACGCAGGTATCTGGAGCTCTTCTCGACAATCGAACTTCGGCCTTCAAGAAGATCACTGATCTCGGCCGTTGTACGACATTCAGTTGACTTTCTGCGACTTGCCTTCTCGCCTTTAATATCTTCTACTTGAAGATGTTTCCCAAACTTCTTCTCACCGCTACAACGGCATTGTTGTCTGCTAAATCAACCTTTGCTCAGACTTACAGTTCTTGTAACCCATTATTCACAAGTCAGTGGCTTGCTTCGTTTCCTTATCTTGTTGAAGCTTTGCTGACCTCACACTAGCTGGCTGTCCTGCGAATACTGCCCTGGGAAAATCTATCGATGTCGACTTCACTTCAGGATCAGTTAATTCCTTTACTGGCTCTGGCGATATTTCATACAACTCCAATGGCGCTTCCTTCACAGTATCCAAATCAGGCGATGCACCAACACTCTCTAGTATCTTCTATATCATGTTTGGAAAGGTGCAAATCACAATGAAGGCAGCCCCTGGCGCGGGTATTGTTAGCACACTAGTTTTACAATCCGACGACCTAGATGAGATTGATATGGAATGGCTTGGAGCGGATGATACTGAAGTACAAACCAACTATTTCGGTAAAGGCAAAGTTACAGACTACAATCGCGGAGCTTTCAATCCAGCGGCGAACAACCAAGGCAAATTCATTACCTACACTATTGAGTGGACTTCAGAGCAGGTCGTTTGGTCCGTAGGTTCTACTGTAGTAAGAGTCCTTACACCCGCAACGGCCGATACCGATCAATACCCACAATCGCCAATGCAAATCAAGTTTGGGGCCTGGTCAGGAGGAGATTCATCGAATGCGCCAGGGACAATTTCTTGGGCGCGTGGTCCAACCGATTACTCCAATGGTCCATTCTCTATGGTCGTTCAGTCAATTGACGTGAGTGATTATTCCACTGGTACTCAATACAAATATGGAGATCAATCTGGAGACTGGACATCAATCGAAGCTGTCGGTGGATCGGTTAACGGTAATGTGCCAGCGTCGGCTTCATCGATTCAAACTGCTGGCGCTGCTGCTGTTACATCTAGCTCCCCAACTATCCCCGCTGGTATCAACAATGGCAATTCGGCCACTCGAACTGGATATCCTTGGGTTGCTGGAACGCAAACTGTATCGGAGGTAACATGGAGCACTGGGCCAAGCATTCCTTCAGGTTGGGAAATTTCTTCTGAGGGGAAAATTGTCCCTGTAAGTGCTTCACCAATAAGTACGTGTCAATCTACTCCCAATATCTTTTACCTTTCCCACATGCTGACTTTGTGTTTAGACATCAACAGGATTAACCCCCTCCTTTTATGTGGACCCTTCACCTTCTTTTTCTTCGCCGCTATCAGGAGATGGCCTTGAAACGATCACGGGCTGGGACTCTAGAGGTTTCGCTGTAACAAGCACAATTTTTGTAGGATGCAGTACGGCAAAAAGCTATGATCAGCAAGGGTTTCTGGTGACTGGAATAGCGGCATGTACGACTGGGGCTGACCAAGGAGGCCTCGGGACAAATGCTGCCGGTGCTATTGGCGGAAAAGTCAGGAGCACAAATAAAGCCGGAAATGTCCATAAAGCTTTGCCTACAGTCTTGGGGATAGTGGCGGCTGCCGTTGGGGGGTTGTGGATTTAAGGAAATTCGATGTGCGATATGGGTTAGGCAGGTTGGATTGGAAATAGGAACGGAGTTTAATGAGACATGAAAAATTTATGGGATTGGCCATTCGAAGCTCAAGGAAATGGAGCTTGGAGCGCAAGTTTCCTTGAAGGAAAAAGCGGCTATGCGAATACACATACAAGGAAATGAGCTAATGATGGATGATGGGCAAGAATTCTAAGATTAATGATAATGATAAAGATGCCTGATACATGGTTCCGTACATATTTGATTCTACTTTGGAACAAAGTCAAAGAACGTGAGATTTTAGAGTCTAAATCTGGGCTCGGTTTGGTAAGTCTGGCGTAATGTGAGGGAGTTTTGAGCGAGAAGTCTTTTGCATGAATCTGAGGGAGAATTTCAGGCAAATTTCTTCCTCTTGCAGTGACGCATAGGAGCAAGTGAGGACATGGGAAGAGAAACGGGGAATGGAATGCGGGATCGAAACCTTTTGTCCTGTAGGATGGGGGTGGGGAGGTTTAGGGGAGAGGAAGCGAGGGGTGGAAATAAGCGAGAGGGTGTATGCGGATGGTTAGTTGAAAAGTAGGTAGTGAAGGCGTGATGCGAAATGGCTAGAACATGAGTGAAAATAGAAGAGTGAATGCTTATTTGGTATTTCTATACATAGGATCTTCTAATCTCTTTCTCTGTGTAAGTATCAAGCTCTTCTCCAAGTGTTGCGATAATATATGTTTAGCGTGTCTTATCATGTAAGAGAATATACACTCCAATATACCTTCAAGGTGTACTCTCTCGATATGTGTTCTCAGAGTGGCCTGGGTTGTAACAAGAAGTGCGTATATTCGTTCCATATTTCATGTTCCAAGGTCATATAATCTAGACTCAAGACTAAATATCAGCAGTAGCAAGTATTCGACCTGTCCTCGAGCGGATTAGTGAAAAAGACAACATGTATCACAAGTTGCCGATTTCATTTACTTTTTGATTTCCTACCGACATCATGCTGCATCTTCATCTGGATCGGAGCTTATCCATTCATTATTATCTTGGGCGTCAGCGATTTTGATAAAGAGTTTGTAACTACCGTGGAGTCTTTCTTCATTGGGAGCTTTGGGCCATAATTGACTTTTGTGGAAACCTCCTCCCACCCAGTGTTATGCTGTACCACTCAATAGAAATCCCAACAGACAAGTATGTGAAACAGATGGACCCGCGCTGGACACGTTTGGTGTAACAATCCCAAAGTTACTCGAGTCCCCCGCAGTCATATCTAATGGTTGTAGCAAGTGCCCTAGATAGTCCGATGGTAACTATTGAGTATCTGCACTGCTACCTCCCGTGAGTAATCTAAGCCCGAGTCTCCAATGATTTTGTTGCACATCTAATTCTTGTACGGCTACACTAATACCTAGTGCTTACACCCCACTTTTATATGTTGGCTCAGCTCGAGGCCAGCGGAACAATGCTTCGTGGTACTTTAGCGACCTTGTGCCAATGCATTCTCATTGGGTATTGAGTGCATTACACACGAAACATTACAGTACATGGGATAGGTAGTTACAGATAACGGGCAGACCCCCAAGGTTTCTTGGGTCCCAGAAGAAGAAGGTGATTGAGCTGTGCTCAAGTGCCAATCACGAAATATATCCAACAACATTCAATCTTCATATAACGATATGTTTCTTAATTCTTACTAATACTCTACTCATTCGAATTTCAAGTGTGAATAGGATATCTAAGGGCTTGAGACGGCGGTGCCGTGGTAAAAATGTTAGAAAAGAGGAAATCTACACCAATGATGAAGAAAACAACAAGGCGGGATGAAGACAGAAAGAAGCATGTATGATCGATGCATAGTAGAGCAAATGTACGACTTTTAACTCTTAAACACAGGTGGAACTCTAAATCCAAAGCTATTTACTTTTACAGTAAAAGCATTTGTAAAGATTCCACGAATATCGAAGCATACGACAAAGGCTTGGAGACAAGGGTGCCAGTTCATAACCAATTCAGGATCACAAGCTCTGAGAGTCCTACTTAGGAATGAACAATTGTATCTGCTGCGTTATATACGAAAAATATGCCTGCAATGCTGATCTGCTCTTGAGACAACTTCAATGATTTACTGCAACCGTAAATTCGTGAGCAATTCCGAGCAACGAATCTACTTCTTCAAGTGTTGCGAGAAGAATTCCGCACACTGTTGATACCTGTAGTTCACGAGATCTCATCAGTAGAGATCATTCATGGGAATTGGGAAAGAGAAAGAAGTACGTACCCTCTAACATATTCCTTGACATTGTCTTCATTTCAACTATCGTAGCATGTTAATCAGTAGCTCTAAATTTAGTCACAGGTCAAGAATTAGAAATACTTACAGTTAGCCCTAGCTCCCATCCATCCATGATGCATGGTTGAATAAGTCTCGACGACCCCGTTCCCTGCTTCAAGAACATCTTTGTATTCTTGCACGGCTTTAGCATCCTCGCCATTTGAGGCAAGCACAATATGTGGAATTGTGATTCTCTCGGCATCCTCCTTCGTCAATCGACTAACAAACATCAGATCAATAATGTCCCAGTATTCTAAGAAACAAAGAGAATGCGTACCTTGGATGGACTTGACCGGATACTGTCCATGGAGTCCCTTTGCGTGAAGTGGCTGCGGCAACCTACTCAAACTTTGAGAACCATGATAACACATCGGATTAGTTGAACTGAAAATAACCTACTTTACCACCCCAGCACAAACCCAGGCATGCCCAGGCGTTTACGCCGTCCCATTTCTTTCCACAATCGGCGACAACTTCCCCAACAAGCTTTTCCCATCTGTCAATCGCAGATATAAATTCCATAAACGCAGCTTTGGCGACTCTGGCCTCTTCGCTCGGATCCTTGAACCACTCCGCTTGAGCTTTTTTCCCATCGAAGAGATCCGGGACGATAACAACGATATTCAAGGGCTCAAGAGCAGCGGCTAATAAATCGGCACCTTGTAGCGTTTGAGGTGCGGCACCAAATACATCGTAGATGACCATAAGGGCGTTTGTGGGTTTAGATGCTCCTAGAACGTTTGGTTGAGATTCATGGATTTTGAAGATGAAGAGGTGAAATGAGTGAGGCTATTTAGGAGTGATTGCAGTTGAAGACAGAAATCAAGCAAAACACAAACGAAAAACATAATGAGCGAATAGCTAGAAAATAATTTGACCCACCTGAAACGTACACAGGTATTCCAGCAATTGTCTCCCATGCACCTTTTATTTTGTAGTCAACTTTAGTCACTGGTGGAATAGTGTCGCAGGCATTCTGTGTAGCCATGTTGAGTGACTTGAGTCTGAACTCTTTGAAGCTTTAGGGTAAAGATATAAGGGAGAAAAGTAGACGATATTTGTGATGAAGGTTGACTATCGAAATGAAGGCTTGGAATGAAGAACATAAACAGTGATAAGAACATTATTTAGGTAGGTATGAACGCATCTGTCAAGGTTTATATATCCAATCTTCCAAAGTGGTCGGAGGATGTGAGATGGGATACCGACGGTGATAACGGGGAATCGTAATGTTAATTGCGAATTCGATGTCACGGCTTCGCTATCCCCTAGACTGCCAACTAGTAGCGCCGATATAGTCCGTATAATTTAGCTTATATAAAGAAGCCTAATTGATTAGATTGACTTTTATAATACTTTTTAATTGTTATATTTAAAAGAAAGAATCTTGATTTCGAATTTTGATTTTTTGAATATTATAAAAAGAAGAAAGATTAAATATAAATATATAATTAATTTTCAAGAATACTAATAATCTAATTAATTGATAAGTTTCTTTTAAGCGACGACGTCGATATTATTAATTGAAATATTTAATACATATTAATTAAGTATTATAATATATTATATTAAAAGATTATTTAAAAACTCTAATTTTGAAAATGAGAACTATAATATTATATCTTTGTATTAAATGATTTTAGTAGAAAAAACTAAATTAAATTATTAAACTCTTGTTTTAAAAACTTATAATTTGAAATTTAAATCATATAAAATTATTATACTTTTTTAAAATCGATTTCATTTTTGAAAAGACTAAATAAAGTTTTGAATTATAATCGAATTATTAAAATCTGTATTTTTGGTGTAAAATTATACTTTACTTATAAGTCTTACGATTCGTATACTTACTAGTATTTTCATTTAATAAAATGACGGAAATCGGGATTGTAATACTACTACGCGATTTAGACACTGGCTTACCCTTTTCGGATCGAATCCGGTTGAGTATGAGAAGAAGCTTCCTTTATTTCCCCCCTTTGTTTCCTTTGTTGTTTGTTTCCCCCGAAACTATAAGCGAAAGCTTTAACTTCAATAGAGTAAATTTTCAAGAACAATGCGGCTTTGCTATGGGAAAAGAGAGTTTCTACCACGTCTTTACTCTTTGGAGGTAGGTTTCCCGCATCCGGGGGCCTATCCTTTCATGATTTTACCGAAGGGTAGACAATTCGAGGGTGGACAAAGAGCATCAAGATCATATCTTTGTCGATAATGACATGGCGAATACAATGTTGTTTCCAAATCTCTTCCGAAACCTCAACAGCTCTCAATTCACCTTTCTAAATTCTCTCTACTGCCAGTCATTAAGATGCCTCCTCCGCCAGATAGACGAAAACTGAGCCATGCGGAACGCGTGGCCCATGCTCAGGAAGAATGGCGTCAATGGTTGAGTTTAAGGAAATTGAGACTTAAGTTTGTTTCTGAAGAAACCGTCGATGAAGGCGGCTTTGATGTTTATGAGTTTGGAGAAAATTGTTTCGCGAAAGAAGCAAAGTTGGAAAGACTTTTACTGCTTTCTGAAAATACTCCACATCGAAGGCAGATACGAAGTTACGTAGAATCGAGCAGCAAAGCAGCCAACTTGTTTACCGACAAAGGCTTGCTTCGCAAAGAGGGTGGTTCAAAAGATACTCTAGGGCTTTTGGGAATGCTAGCCGCTGCAAATGTTGGTGACGAGTACATAGACAGCTTTGTCGAAGATCTGACGGCTTATGGGAGTGCATGGCTTTACAGCGAAGAGTTTGAAGGCCATAAGGCGGATTGGCCTCCGTGGGTAACAGGACAGGACGATGATTCGTTGAAGCTTCAACGATTCCATAATATGGTGCATGCTCTTGCGAGTGACAGAAACGCGCCATCACCCTGGAAACATCTCAATGCAATGTTTCGCCTCAACGGCTACTTGATGAGAATTTTAAGATTCGTCGATGAGCGAAATGCTCACTTGGGAGGGCGACCAGCATTACCCGATGGATCAAACATAGCGGATCCGGCGATAAAGGCAGCATGGGTACTACATAGGGCATGGATAAGATTGCTTCATCATCGATCGTTAAGTTTGGGAGCGCAGGCTCGTGGAATAGATTCACTAAAAAATATCCTCATTATTGGTAGAGCACAACTAGAGCAGGAGACACGTTCCGTTCCTGTCGAGAGTAGAAAGATTTATGAATCGCTTCTAGAGTTTGTAACTACACTACAGACTCTGACCACGTTCTTACAAGCACTCGCAAATGAATTTAGCCAAGACTCTATTCCCAAACCAGGCTCCCGAGAACCTTATGTTATATCGGATTTTAACATAGATTCCGATCGTGTAAGTGCGGCATGGGCTCAGGTATGTATCGTGGCAATTATCAATCAAAGATGAATGAAACTGACAGGAATTGAATAGATCACCCACCCTTCAAAACCTGATCCACAAGGGAGAACTATCAATCCATTTGGACCTATGCTCCTCTGGTCACAATTACTTGATCGTGCTGCCGATTTCGAAGCTAAGAACAACAGGTACTATGTCGAAGATCATTTATACGACAATCGTGTCATTGCAGAAGATGAACACTGGGAGATTACAAAACTTATATCCCAAGCTAACTACGATCCTGATTTCGTGAAAGATCGTATTCCCGATGTTGCACAAGCAAGGGAGGTTAGAGCATTGACGAAGAAAGTATCACAAGTCAATACGCATCGGCGCAATTACCTACTTTTAAGAGACTGGTCCAAGAAACGACCTTGGTAAGTTACACAATAGCCTTTTGGTTCATCTACTAAGACAATTGCTAACATCTATAGGAAACAACTGTATTTTGTATTCGATACCGTTACAACCGATACCTGGCGTGGACTTATTGACGACTTTTACAACACTATGGAACTACTTAAAGTATTACCCGAGACACCTGGGAAGGAGCAAGATGCATTGGACTACAGAGCAAGTATAGAAGCAGATCCAGAATCTGAACCAAATCTATTTGGCAATGTTTTCTCCATACACCCTCTTCCAAGCCATGACCCCTGTAAGTACGCTGGTTCTTACTTTGGTAATTGCGTATATTGCCTCGAAGACTACGCACCCAGAGAGTTGTGGGTGCAATTTTTCTGCAATCATATGGTGCATTACGATTGTGGTCGCGACTATGTAAGTACTCTCAATAACTTGATCATCTCTAAGTAGAATGGATAGACATTAACCTTGCGCTTCTTTAGTGGGATAACCCTGGAAATCCTGACTTCAGGTGTCCTCTTTGTAGGCATACACAGTCGTGGGAACTCCACAAAGTTGCAGGAATTGTTCCAGAGGCTGTAGACTTATGGGATAACGTGGATCTCGTGGATGCCGCAGAAGTATCTAGACACCCTATTGTCCAAATGGAGGGTACTCCGGCGGATGTTGAGGGATTCAAAGAGCTTTACTGGGAGAGTGAGGCCGCGCATCTGGCTGAAAGTGAGTCGGTAAGTCTTGACTTTGGAGATCCGATGCATCAGTGACAGCAGCTAATTTATTGGCAATAGTGGGAGTTTCGTAATTATCATGGTGAGAGGGCTAGAGAGCTTCACCACGAGATGGCACAAATGAGAAATGCAAGAAGAAGACGTGTTCTGGCTGCAAGAAATGAAAGACTCGAGATAGAGAAAGAGTTTCCTACATTGGCAGAAGATTAGTTAGGCTCTATGATCTCTACCTTCTTATCCTGGCCCTATACTTACTCGACGGAGCCAAATTTGGTAGCAGGGAGTATGCGACCGTCTTTTTCTCTTTGATTGGAGCGGTCGATACATCGCCAGCAACCCGGCTGGCTTTGTGTACTAGTATCTTTCATCCGAAGATCCTTTTTCGTCATGCATCTAATTAGTCAACCGTGTATCTGGAACAATATGTTGGAATGTAATTTCGTAGGAATATACTTGAGTGATACTGCTAGTTGTTATCTTTGTATCACTGTATAATGTAACTCCTTACATTCACATTTACGTCGCGAAAAACTCTACCATGTCAAAAAGCTTGCCGTGTCTAAAATTTGAGATCTCTACAAGATTCTTCATTTCCGCAAGTACGATGTTGAGATCAAACCTGACTCAAACTATTCACTTGACAAGGATGACAGAAGACAAAGATTACACCCATAACAAAAGTCTTGCTTGCATCATAACCGGTAGCGTGATTATGGTATTTGCAAGAATTCGAAGAAATTGAGTTTGAATTTGTTTGGATGCTTATACTATGTTGACAAAATGAGCGTACATTCTTGCTATGCGAGTGAATATAACACTGTTAGTTCCCAAATAAATGTTATAATTTCAATGTAAAAACCTTTCCACGCCAAATTTTTCATCTTGACATAGTGTTTATCACTGCTTATCCGATTCCGAACCAACTAATTTACTAACTTCAAGTTCATCCTATTCAACATCAGTACTACTCCAACCATATTTCCTCAACAAATCCTGTTTCAGCCACATCTTCAAAGGATCAAACTTACCTCGAAATCCCCGGGCCAAATTAAGCCTCTTACTCCCCAACTTTCCCACCCCTGATCCTTCTTCATATCTCCTCTTATGAACTCTCTATACTCCGGTGCCCCCGGCCTGACCACATTATCCGCTACAACCACGGCTCCCCTTTTCAGCACACCCGATGCCTCCACAACTTTAAAGTCCTGCTCATACAAATCCTCCACATGGTCTAGGAACAAGAAATCGACATTCGTGATTTTCTTCTCTTTGACTAGATTGGTAATCGAGGAAGCGGCTGTGCCTTCAACAACCTCGATAATGTGACCGAGTCCTGCTATTTGAGCGATTTGGCGAGCAATAGCTGCAAAGGCAGGATCGAGTTCGAGGGAATAAATCTTTAGCCCCGAATCACCTGTCATATCGTGATTAACCTAGCCATTTTAAAAACAAGCATGAATTACAAGTTTAAGAAAAAGCTAAACAAACCTCCATGCACCTTCACCATCGCATCCGCAAAAAGCACAGCACTATATCCCAAATATCCGCCTAGTTCCAACAGCACTTTCGGTTTCTCCCGCGTAACGAGATCTCGCAAAATTTCAGCTTTTTTGGGACCAACACTGATGAGGAAGTCTTCGCGCAGGGAAAATTCATCGATAGTGGAGAGGACGTCTAAGGGATTGGTGGGACTGTGAGATAAGATGTAAGCGAGGAGTTGAGCTTCACGGCCGTCATGGGACTGATGGTTATTAGTGAGAATTCATGCGTAGAAAAAGTAATTGAAGATGAGAATAGAATAAGGAAAAATAGTGGAGAAAAATACTTCAACTCCGGACTCCATTGCTTTGCCAAGGGTAGGCCATTTTTTGACGAATTCTGCGTCGTTTTCCATTGTAATTTTGTAGGTGTTTCCGACAGTGAAATGTGAAATGATTATTAATGCAATTATCCGTAGCTAGTATTGTGTTATATGACGTGAGAATAGTGTTCCGATGTACTTAGCACTATGATACCCAAAAAAGTCCAAATAATGAACTCAAAGCAAAGGAAAAGCTAGAGAAGACGGAAACAAAACAGACTATATATACATAATCTCAATCTGATCACCCCACTCTCAGGTCCAGCTGCAACAGTATCTCGTATCTTCCATTCTCAAGCGCTATCTCCTACTGGCTAAACCCGCACACACACCCCCATCACAAATTATTTTCTTGTAATTTGCAGTTCCGACGCGCCATTAAAAGGCTAGTGCTTATCTATCCACGTAATCGCATTTTCTTATAATGAAAAGAAAACCAAGTTCTCACCGCCGAAAAAAAGCATCGAGTAATTACATCGAAGAATCATCCAAAAACACTTGCGAAAATAAGCTCAAAAGAATGTCAATATGTGATTGTGCGATATGAAAAAATGTTAGAAAATTAAATGAAGAAAGTAAGAGTATTTTAACAACAGTAATAAGGTGAATCAATAGATGAATTGAGTTTTTCTTCTTCAGAAATTGTCGAGGAAGATGGTCGGTAATAAAAGGGGTTCGCTTGTACAGAAGTGGAACGAGAAAACTTTTTCCACCTCAATTCGCAGAACTTTCCGTTGAATCCGGCCCAATGGTTAGCTGTGACAACATATTGAATATCGCGAATAATATCCATATTTTGAATGCTCACGACTCCAAAAAAAGATGGTGCTTCTCATTCACTATGTTATGATGAAAGTGGCCGTCGAATGATCGATGGTTCAGGCTTCAGCAAGGTAACCATTTTCTTGCATCAAGTCCCAGTGACACTAAAATCATTCCAAACAAAAACAGCAGGTGCTATCTCTCATAACGATCAAAAGCATAAGTGGGATCGGTACTTATTAGGGAACATGGACGTGGTGACTCGAATATTCAATGCAGTAGTTTTGGATTGAAATTAACAATCGTTGACACAAAATAAATGTTCACGTTTTTGCTATTTATTGTATGTTCATCTTTTCTATTATACATTCAGTTGACTAAAAGCTGCGTAAGAAACTTCTCAACTTACTCCATAATTTTGTTTCAAAGATTTATTGGGGTTTATTGTTCTCGTTTGATCATTTTCTCCCACCATTTTTGTTCAGTGAATTTTTCCAGTCCCGTTACATCATTACCACGTGCAACATCGCCTGCCACGACTTTGGCAGCCTTGATGCAATCATTTACGCCCACGCCAGTGTATGAATTTCCAGCCACTGCCAGTTTTCCCTTGTATGCGCTTAACAACTCATAATGCGCTTGTTTCAGTCTCTGCTCATGGCCCACAGTATATTGAGGAATACAATCTTTCTGCAAAGATGCATGTACCATTTCTGGTTCTTGATCGATCTTCAGATGTCGTTTGAGAACGGCTTTTGCCATAGCAGCACCCTCTTCCTCACTAGGATATGTTTCGAAGTCGTTCCACCAATGGCCACCTAGCATAACGGTGAATTTGGTCCCTGGAACAGTATCTTGACCAACTGTTGCGTCTGAATCAAAAATTACACCAAGAGCAAATTCTGGATTCTGGTCAAAAGGAATGGATCGTGGGATTAGGTATCCAAAGCCGCGCTCCGGAATGAGATCTTCTTCCCGGTAGAAGAGATTAACAACCATGACCGTCACAGCCTCTGTTTTCGCAAGTGAAGGGAGTAAAGAATCATCTGAAGAGGTAGTTAGTGTAGAGAGAGTGCGGCCTGACAAGGTAGAAATAACGTAAGAATGGTTGGTGGATGATTCGCCAGCCTGAGTTGTGTAGATCTAGGTACTTCAGCCATTAGTCAGAGATGTGAAGTGAATAGATTCATACCTTGATGCCTTCACTTTGACCATCGTACTCGATTTTCTTTACGTCCTCGCCCAGCTTGATTTTTACATTAGGATTATTCCTTAGAGAGGAGTCCAGTGCTTCAGATAGTGTACCAATCCCTCTGCGAAAAGTATAGACACTTGTTTCTTTGACAATTGCCCTCTCGTTGTCCGTAAATGAACTCTTCTCCTTTTCCTCCAAATCTGCATCTTCAGCTGTCGCATTCTTGACTTTTGCTATTCGAGATATTCCTGCACTGATACTTCCAAATGCCCCCTCCATTCCCCACTGGGTGGGCATTATACTTTTTGCACTCAGTTTGTAGATATCACCAGCATAGATACCATGAAATACGGCTGACACTAGATTGTCTGGAATGTCTGTTCCTCCTGTTCGCCTGGCCAGAAATGATCCTACAGATTCATCATCCAATTCTGTTGGTCTTCGTGGCCTCTTATATTCGAAAAGCAACCTGTACATTCCTTTGAAAACTGGTTCTGTCAACAGTTTCCAGGTAATGGCGTAAACCCCTTGGCTGGGCTCGGGCATGCAAACAAGCCGATCGGGATAATAGATAAAGCGATTCAAGGCAGCGGCAGACATTTTGTTGGTTTTAATCACCTGGTCAGACAGCCCAAGGTCTCTGATCTAGAATCGCGAATTAGAATACTTCAAGCAAATAGCTAGAAAGCAGATCCTACCAAGTTTAGAGCAACAAATCCCGCAGGCGTGTTCGGTCTTAAAGTCCTCGGCCCTTGTTCAAACACAACTTCACCATCTCCCACGTCAATATATTTTGTCCGTAGCCACCCTCCCAGCCTCTGACTACTCTCATACAGTGTGACTTTCAGATGCGGTGCCATCTGGGTGAGATAGTATGCTGTTGCTAGACCCGTAATTCCACCGCCAAGAACTGCGACACTGGGTTCCTTCCATTCTTCTGAGCTACTATTTTTTGATATAACTTTCGCAGACTTCCTGGTTGGAGTATCGGAGGGAACATGGCTACTATAGTATTTCAACAGAGACTTTGATCGTTCGCGAATGTGTAATTGTGGGCGTGCTTGGTAGCTACATGCTCTAGTACAAGACCCCAGAATGTTTCGCCGACGTAGACGTACGATTTGACATTGAGGACTATTATAGCATCGCATCAGAGGAGCCAACAAAGGAGACTCGGGCAGACGCATCCTCGTTATAATTATTTGTCAATGCTGTGTAGTAACAGCATGAAATTACCAGTGATATTTGGATGAATCGTCGCGGAGTTGTTTTGCTTAGTATGGTGCTGTACGTTAAAAGCTTAGGTATTATTTACTTACCCCTCCCCCCACAAAGCGCTATGCTTCGGTATCAATTTATGTACACGGCAGAAAACATAGGTGGAAGTTTTAATAATACATATTAATAAATTGTATAATAAGTATTTCATGATATAAGTATTCTCCTCATAGTCTTGAATCTATTGAACGCCGTTTATTCTGAATAACGAATCAATATGCTCATCTAACTAGATACTCAAAGACTGCTTTTCTTTTGTTTCTGTAGAATGCGAATCAGTTGTGGTAAGCTTTAGAAGAGTTCAACGATAAGTGTAAAGTCATAAATTCATAGATTCACATCAAAAGCAAGAGAAGAGATGTGAGAGCTTTCTGTTTGGCTAAGCCCCAAAGTCTTTTTGCTTTGGGGTGCCGAGGATGCAACAATCCATTCTACCTAGAGATGCTTTGGCTGTGACCAGGTATTCATTATGAGAGCCCAACCAAGATATATCCCGAGAATCCAGTCACGATCCTCTTGTCCATAAAACGCCAGATTATAATCTCCTTCCCACGCATCCCTATGCATGTTGTACATTTTTCTTAAACTAAACATTCTCTCCGTAGCTCATGTAAGTATTCAATCCATCTATTCGGCAATCTCTGCATCGCCACTTCCTCCTGCTCCCGTGCCTGCTGATGCTCCTCCTCCAGGTAGAATCAGCTCCTCATTCCCATCCTCGTCCACGAACTTCCGCTCACTGACATGCTCCTTTGAACCATCTGCCACCCATACTTTATCATCGAATTTTCCTCTCTTCTGGCCCTCTTCATGCTTGAATGCACATGTCGGATTTAAGCAAGGGTTGAATTTGCACATGGTTTTGACGTGTGTGAACTTGCAGTCTGGTGTTGTACAATCGGCGCCATTTCGACATAATGGCATTGTTGGATGTCGGAAGGGGCAGTTGGTATTCTTACAATTTGGGAAATATATGCAATCTTGAGTGGTTTGATGTGCAATCTTCTGGGCGGGGGATGGGTGTCGCCCAACGCATTTTCGATTTTTGCAGGCTGCACCAAAGGTACAAACATCTGCAACGTCAATAGCCGTTCCTGGAGGAGCTGCAGGAGATTGATGTGCGAATTTGCAGTCTTTATTCGTGCAAGACAAGTTAAATCTGCATGTAGTGTCTGGAGAAAGACTATCAACCTTGTCACTAGAATTCATCTCAACATCCATCGAGTTGTCATTTTGAGATTGTGGTTGCTGCTCGTGGCGCTTCTGGAAGTTGTTGTTTTGGGATCGACTGGGATGTTGCATTCGCTCATGTAAAGGTCTGCCTTGTCCCGGGAATCCTGAGCCAATGCCGTTAACCCCTCGTTGCATCATTTGTTGCTGTTGTGGAGTGAACATTTGTGCCATCAATCTCGATTGCTGCTCAAGCATAGCATATAGTTCGAGTTGTTGTTGTGGAGACATGCCCATAATATTTTGCGCTGCACCATGTTGCGTCGGCATGCTCCCCATACCGCCATGCCCACGCCCGTTTTGCGTGCGAGCAGTACCTCGGATATTTACGGGTCCCCTTGGCCCTGTTGGGGGTCCTCGCGCATGTGTATTTATTCGTTCATTCCCCGATTGTGGTCGTACTCGATGGAGAGCGGCATCATGCGTGCGATCCATTGCCTTCGTCAGATGATTCAGCATACGTTTATCCCGCGGACGACTAATACCACCACTTCCATTTCGCATTGATTTGGGGCCTGTTGGTCTGTAATATGTTAGTTTTTGGTCTCGAGAAAGAATGTTTCTGATTTTGAAGATAATTAAGGGACTGATTGCATACACATTTATATCGCCTGCCTCTGAAGCATCATTCATATCCGCATCTTGCGATACATTTGAATCTCCAAATTGACCCTGCTCAGTCTCTGCGCCAGTCTCTGGATATCCTCCACCGCTAATCTGTGAATTCAATAATCCAACCTGGTTGAACAACCACTGTGAAAAATCTCTTGCTCCGGGATCATCATCGCCAAGGTTTAAAAGATCGCCTGATAATTCCGCGGCGATTTGTTCCTGCGTCTTTCCATTCACCAGCATGAGGATAATATATTCCGAAAGCGCAGAGTCATCAGCGCCACCTGTACTCCATCCTACTTCTACAAGCTTTGGTTGAATGGAAGCATTGAGCGCATGAGCCAGAGGCGAATCTAAGACGACTTCGACCGACATTTTAAAATTTCGTTGATCTCTTTGTTTATCAAAAGTCAGGCTTTCAAGTACTTGAGCTGCGGTAGCTCTTGACTGAAATAAGGGTGACGGTGAACTGTGGTAATCTATTCACCAGTGACAATCTTGTTAACAGTCGCAACAAATGGGGAATTGTTTTTGGTGATGGTTCGAATCTTGTAATGTTTGTTCGGTGGTTGTGATTAGTTCAAAAAAACGATGGTAGGTGTTTGATAGAATAAAGATCTTGAAAGACCAAGAAGCTTAAAGAGCCCTGGCGACATGTTTGCCTTAGGATGACATATTATTTTGAGCCGCAAAAGGCTAGTCACGATCACGTGTTATATGTGGCTTATGAAGTGGCTCATGTCTACTGATAACCTCCACCTGGGCTGGAACCTCCAGTTTTGGAAGCCAAAAAAAACTAAACCCCTCAGAATTCAGGTTGATTATTATTTTAGAGTGGCTCAGTGGTTCAGTCTCGTCGCGTGAACCCCCCGGCCGCCACTCTTCCCAGCCACTTGCAGATATTCCAGATCCATATGGATATTATTTCTCGAAGGATCATTTGACCATCACCATTTTTGACTAGAATTGTTGGTCGGTCAGTCATGCCACGCAGTCTGGTAACAACGCACCACCCACCATGCATCACTTACCATATTATACAACGCGCTTCATACATTGCATCCTTTGAGTCAGTCAAATGGGAATTTTGGGCTCAAGAAGCCTTAGCCTTGATCAGCTCTTTGGTCGCATGTATCAACTCCTCAGAAATACCTTCAGGGCGCTAGCTCAGGTACTCGACCCTCCCCTTTGAAAGCGGGAGAACGGCCACTTGCACATCGACCGAGCGAGCCGACTTAATAGATAACTTAAAATTGAGCTCATACAGCTATCTACCGGTGTCTATCAGCTCATCCGATAATGGCGATCTGAGCCACCAAGATACAGAACCAATACTTCGTACATACATCCAGATGTTGGTATTACGGCACTGCAAACCAACAGCACACTAAGAGTCTAGGACACACAAACATCATCTTACTCCTATGCTGTTGGAATATGAAACAGTCTTGGATTTTATATATGTTGTGTCATGTCCAACAAATCTCACAGCCTCCAAGTGCTGACATGTTATTTCGTATTTCCCATGATCGACTCCATCCTTTCACATATCCAGATACCATTTTTAAACCATCGCTTCCATCGAGCCTTGTGAACGCCGCAGTGCCGCACCAAAGAAATTGACGGCAATTCAAGAGAACCAGGAACCAGGGGATATCAAAGCCAGCTACCCACTTTTAGTATTCTTGGGTCGTTTATGACTGAGTGCCAGGTATAGTGTACATTTTCTTCGTGTCCCTACGAGCTTCTGAGTTCTGAGTTCTGAGTTCTGAGTTCTGAGTTCTGAGTTCTGAGTAAGCAAGTTTGACTTTGTCCCTTCCCCCGATGCACATCACAATCTCAATATCATGAGATTCGTAACCTTAAAATTCTCAACCCCCGACCTAGATCCATCCTCAAATCCATTGCTACCCAGACACATCCATTTTGGTGTCCACCCGTTTCCCAGCATATCCACTCACACCCACTCACACCCACCCATCCATATCAATTCTCCCTCCTCGCGCAGATGCATCAATCCGACAATCCGACCTACAGGGCGACGTGAACAGATAACAAATCAATCGGGCATCCTATTAGCTTAAACTGCTACTCTTCTACTACTACCTACAGTCAGTCAAAGGTACTTCATCACGTCGTACTTTTTCTCACCGGCTTCTGGAGGCGCTTGTCGTAACGTTACGGCAGCTGGATTGGTAGTCTCGCATAGACTTCTCCGCACCAAGTGACAATTATTACTACAACAGGACAACCAGTTGGAACATCGGATTTGGCTACCTGCATATTCATTTATCGTCATATCCAAGCCCTGGGAAAAATTAATTTGATTGCTTTTCAACTCTATTCTGGGATTTGCGCAGTCCAATCACTGGGTTCATATTCCTGCGGCACTCCTGAATCCTGGTGAATTTACCACAGCCAATACTGCAAAGCATTCGTGAATCCTGAGCCACACGGCTGTGAATCAATTAAGTAATTGGCCAGAGCACTTGACATACTCTTGTTCATGAAGCTATATAGTCTACATATCCCCGTCTGTTTATTTCATTCCCACTTCTTTCGTTACATCTAATTTACACATACAAATACTACATTGGCACTTCTCATAATGCGTTCTTCTACCTTTCTAATATCTGCTTTGGTCTCCTCTGCGTTGGCTATTTGGCCTCAGCCTGTTTCGTATACAAATGGTACCGGTGTTTTGTGGTTGGATAAGAACGTTAAGGTTACTTATGATGGCGGCGCTGTACGATCATTCCCTCCCATTTTTTATGTTGATATGAATACTGAGAAATTGCTCGCTGTACAGTCTACAGGATATTCTAGTAGTGGAACTGGAAATATAACAAGCAGCAAGACGATTGTTTCTAAGGCCGTAACTCGAGCTATGAACAAGATCTTCTATCAAGGTTTGACACCATGGAAATTATATCCACGAAACACCCTGCCCCTAGTTGAGCCATCGGCCACCTCAAACAAGAACTACATCAGCGAAATTCTCATCACCCAGACCGGACAAGATAACTCCTCCACATTCAAGCCTACAGATGGTCAGGTTGACGAGTCATACAACCTCATAATCACTACTGATGGAAAGGCCTCCATCAGCGCCCCATCATCTATTGGCATCCTTCATGCACTGACCACGTTCACACAACTCTTCTATACACATTCTGTTGCTAAAGCTGGTGTCTACACCAAATTAGCTCCCGTGACAATTTACGATGCACCAAAGTTTGCACACCGCGGACTTAACATGGATGTATCCCGAAATTGGTATCCTGTTGAGGATATCAAGAGAACGATGTTAGCAATGCATTATACTAAATGTAGTGTTATTCATTTACACATCACCGACGCTCAGTCGTGGCCTTTGGATATTCCAGCACTTCCTGAATTGTCAAAGTTGGGTGCTTATGCGACCGGATTGTCCTATACCCCTGCAGACCTCAAGGAAATTCAAGAGTATGGCGTTGAGCTTGGTATCGAGGTTATCTTGGAGATTGATATGCCTGGTCACACAAGCTCCATTGGATATTCTCACCCTGAGCTCATGGCAGCCTTGTTCGCCGAACCTTGGGATACCTACTGTGCTGAACCTCCTTGTGGATCATTGAGACTTAATGATTCAGCCGTACCAGCATTCCTTGAGAAATTGTTTGATGATCTTCTTCCCAGAGTCTCCCCATACTCATCGTACTTTCACACTGGCGGAGATGAAGTTAATGTTAATACCTATTTGTTGGATCCCACTGTTCAATCAAATGATACCGCCGTTCTTCAACCGTTAATCCAAGCATTCGTGGACAGAAACCACAAACAAGTTAGAGCTGCTGGACTTACCCCAATGGTCTGGGAAGAAATGATCACAACATGGAACCTCACCTTAGGATCTGATGTTCTTGTTCAATCATGGCTCAGTGATGCCTCTGTCGCTCAAATTGTCGCGGCTGGACATAAAGCTATTGCTGGCAATTATAACTTCTGGGTAAGCATTTTACAATGTATCCGCATAAATTAATTCACGTACTGACAAACTTTTAGTATCTCGATTGTGGCAAAGGACAGTGGCTCAATTTCGAGCCAGGTGCATCCTCTGAGAAGTACTTCCCCTACAATGATTATTGTTCGCCTACCAAGAGTTGGCGCTTAGTCTACTCCTACGATCCTCTCGCCGGAGTACCCAAAAACTCTACTCATTTGGTCGTTGGCGGAGAATTTCACATTTGGTCTGAGCAAACCGATCCAATCAACCTTGACGATATGGTATGGCCAAGAGGAGCTGCCGCCGCAGAAGTATTGTGGTCAGGAGCCAAGGACCCAGTCACTGGACAGAACAGAAGTCAAATCGACGCAGGCAGCAGATTGCCAGAATTCAATGAACACTTGAGAACTTTGGGAATCAGATCGGGACCTGTACAAATGATTTACTGTACACAACTCAACTCGACAACATGCGCATTGTAGGTTGGGAAATTGGGATAATTACTAGGAAGCTATGGATATCGGCGGAATCGCATTTGGGAAAGGAGTTCCTTGGGGGCATCGGATATGATATTACATTTATATCTCTACTTAGACTTACTTTCCACATGTACATAGATTAGATCTTGAGAGGGATTTACACAACGATGAAGATTTGACCAATGGTTTGTCTATTTGCCTGTCCCAATGAGTATGTGAAACCTCGAGAGTGTAGGTATCTCGGTAGATTTCTGGTATCAACTGTAAATTGTTAATCGACCAGGTTGCCTGAACATAAAAATACCTTGGGCATCTACCTGGTATCTGGTATGTAGTGAGCGAGTAGTGTTTACAGTAGACGAAGTCCTTCGTGCATTTCTTCATTTTTTACAGAATTGATGCTCCCACCAGCTCCTACTGACCCCAACTGACTTATTTACCTACCTACTTACCAGGTATGTGTTAGACAGAATTTCTATCAATAATGCGTAATCATCGTAAATGTGGAAACGGCAGGCGCAGTCATACCTTACCCCGGATTTGTCCACATCTTGTTTCTTTTACATGTGGAGCCTCGGTACTCGGTCCTCCTCGCAAACCATGTTTCCCTTCCTTCTCCTCTGAAACGCCCCCGATGTGCACAACACATATGTACTCGTATGTTCGTATGCTCGTATGTTCGTATGTTCGTAAAATTGACCAAGGAAATCCTCAAGCCATCATTTCCAATTCGAGCAAAGGTAAAGATCACAAGGGGCCCCTCTTGCCATTCCTCGAGAAAACCCCACCTTACTGTACAAACGAAACTTGAAGATTGCGACAAGGCCTAATAATTCATCCGATTCTTAAAGATATAAGAAAGACGACAATCTGTGCAAATATGATAAGTACAATTGAAAACAACGCCTGGTTTCAGACTTGGTTATATAAGTCTTCTTTCTCTTATTTCTGAATGTTACTCATTCATTTATTTCTTCATTGATTCATCATTTCTCATTCCCATATACATAAACGAGCACATTGATATATAAAGCAAAACACATCCTGCATCATGTTGGAAAGCATATCAATAAAGTCTCTCATCTTACCATTTGTCGTGATTTTCGTCTTGTTTAAAGTCACACAATTTGTTCAGAGAGAGCTTAAGATTCGATCACTGGGTGGTCATGCCAGAAGAGCGAAGACATGGATTCCATTCGGTACAGATTAAGACTACAATTGCTTTTGCAAAGAAGCTTGCTAATGATCTTCAGATCTCGACCTCGTTGCGCGTTCGGTCAGCTATGGCATGCATGACAAGAATCTCGAAGCTTGGATGGTATTCTTCTCCGGTTACAAAGACATACGTTATACAGTAGAGGCAAATCCAGGAGGACAGCGTACGCTATTCACTGCGGAACCAGAAAATATTAAAGCTATACTCGCGACTCAATTCACAGACTACGGCAAAGGGGAACCATTTCACAATGATTGGAAAGATTTCCTTGGTGACAGCATCTTCACGACAGATCTTGACCAATGGCATGATTCTCGTCAATTGATTCGTCCACAATTTATCAAGGATCGAGTCAGTGATTTGGATACTTTCGAGAGACATATTCAGATTTTAATCCGGAAGGTCAAAGAAGAAGGCAGAAAATGGGATGGCACTCAGGGTCGGGAGATTGATATTAGTGATTTGTTCTTCAGATATACTCTAGATGCTGCGACAGACTTTTTGCTAGGACGCAGTGTGGAAAGTTTAGAGAAACCAGGAGAATTTGCAGATGCTTTCGCAGAGGTTCAGCGGGTACAGTGTATTATCGCGAGAGCTGGGTATGTATTCCTGTCTTCATTTTTTAAAACGATCGCTAATATTGTTATCAGACCTTTGAATGGATTAGTTCCAAGAAAATCATTCTACGAAGGTCTCAAGGTTATAAATGAATTTGTTACCCCCTTCATTGAAGATACGCTTCGACTTTCTCCCGAGGAACTAGCAACCAAAACGAAAACAGAGGAAGGGTATACATTTCTCCATGCATTAGCTTCCTACACCCGTGATAGAAATGTACTCCGAGATCAACTCGTAGCAGTCTTACTTGCCGGTCGCGATACAACAGCTTCCACTCTCTCGTGGACATTTTACGAATTAGCTCGTCACCCTGAAGTTTTCAGGAAATTGCGTGAGGAAATCATCTCGAAAGTTGGTCTAGAGACACCCCCAACTTATCAACATTTGAAAGATATGAAATATCTACAGGTACGTCCTTCATTATTTATTACAGCACAAATCTCTTGCTTACAGCTGCAGAATGTTATGAACGAAACCCTTCGTCTTTACCCCGTCGTTCCTTTCAATGTCCGTCTCGCTCTCAAAGATACCACACTGCCCGTCGGTGGCGGACCAGATGGCCTCTCTCCTATGGGAATTCTCAAAGACACTCCAATCGGCTACTCCACTCTCGTTATGCAACGCCGCGAAGATCTTACTCCAGACGTCATGTCCTTCAATCCCGACCGATGGTTTACATGGCAGCCTAAACCTTGGCAATATATTCCTTTCAACGGCGGTCCTCGAATTTGTATTGGTCAACAATTTGCACTCACCGAAATGGGTTATACGATTGTTAGACTCTTGCAAAACTTTGATGGCCTTGAGGGATTTATGCATGAAATTGATGGAGGAAACCCACAATTGAAAGCGGATATTGTTTTACAGCCTGGACAGGGTGTACACGTGGGATTTTTGGAAGGGCAAAGCGGAACTGTCAAAGAAAAGGTCTAGGATGGTGAAAATGATGTCTCTAGGAATGATGATCCGGCGTTGATTGCTTACTTGGCTGCTCTAGGAGATGGGCAAAGGAAACAAATGCTAACGATTGATGAAAGTGCTTATTTCAGCTCAACTCATTATGTAAAAATAAGAAATTGGGTTCTTCTATCTGTTTTTACAATAATCTGAATGTCGTTGTACTCGAGTATGAAAATGAATAGTGAGCCAAGGTTCTCGTCACAATCATTCTATCATATGCGATAATTTGAGTTTAATTATTCCATCACATACAAGCATCCTGTAGTCTCAATTTGTTTGTCGTCTTAACAGCTGACATGTTTATCATGCCCGAATCTGCGAATCTACAACGCAATATAAGCCTATTCTTTCTAATTCACAACAATTCAAGGCTTGATTATAATATTGAAGGTCATGCGAACTGAGTATTGGAGAAAAGATGATAGGGTAAGCAGAAGTCAAATCACTGGATTTGAAGCGATGTAAAGTGAGAGTATAAATATCCGGTCGGGATGACTGTCTCTGGATTTTGGTATACTACGCGATACAACAGTGCAACGCAGCAACAAGGCGCAAAGGCTGTTGAGATAAACTAGTGTGATGTGGTTGTTGGGATGATATCTTGTATGTATGGTGAGATAGAATGAGGTGGGATGGTATCGTATACGGACTGAACTGTGAGTACTGTCTCGATGACAACGCTCTAGAATCCGGCTATGGTTATTGTGTTGTCGGTTGTTTAATACTAACAAATAATTCTGTTGTTGTTATTTGCACGTTTTATATGCTAGATTTCTTTTTGGTGTACTTTGTTTCGTCGTGGAGGATGGGCGGTATGTGTTGGGCTGAAGTGGATTGGTCTATATTATGGATCCTGAACCTGAAGGAGAACGAGAAGTTAGCTTAAGATGTGCTTGGGATGAAAGAAAATTTGTGGATTTGCTTTTATACTGTGGATGGAGGTGAGGATCGTGGGGGTGGTGTGGAGTATGGGGATGGGGGGTTGGAGGGTGAGACGTGTGAGATGTGGTTTGCTGATGGGAGTTGTAAATGTTGCCCATTCTTCTGATTATGATTTCTTATCTGGTTGATTGATTAATTGATTTTCGTGGCTGGTTGTAGTACTAGACCTGGCGAGGGAAATGTATAAGAGAGATTTATACGATCTAGACAACTTCTTCCTAGGTGTCAAGTTCGCATATCCCAACGATTATGCTGGATCCGGTGGAATACTCGTCGTTCTATCTTCTCCGCGTTTCCTTATTTATTTTTGCGATGCTATGTAGACAGGGAAAATCGGAATTGGAAGGTGCGTGTATTTACTACGTGTTCTGGTGAATATTCATGATCAAGTTTACTAGAGCATTGTCATATTGAGTACTTTCTGTCGTCTATCCGCAATATGTTGTCAACAGCGATCGAGTATTGTACATAATCTCAAAGTTTCCATCAATGCCATCATTCAACAATAATCGTCATACTTTTTCGCGCCGCTTATAGTCAAGCTATGGACATCCTAATAGTATGATACTTATACATCGAGTGTATCTGCCAAACCATTGATATATTTACATCGTTGAAACAGTTTTTCTTGCTCAATCAACCTCTTCCTTTCAGCTTCCTTCGCCGAGCCCATCGATCTAAACTCATCTGCTCCAGACAACACTTGTTGCCATGTCCCAATATTCTCATTTTCCAGATTCCGCTTCATGCTGTCAGAGTTATTTTCGTCGGTCAAGATAACAGGTCCTGTGCCATGTGGTCCTCCAATGACTTGAATCTTCAAGCTCTCGAGTTGTGTATCTTCCATGTCAGCTTTGTCATACGATCCAGGCCATTCGGCAAATTGTTTTTGTGATAGAGATGTATTGATCGGATTCCCAGTATAAGCAAAGTTGACAAGACTTCTAGCCATCATCTCTGGCATTTCGTTGTCTACTTCAGTGAGTTGACCTTCGGGGAATACGCCGTTGAATAAGTAGTTGTTGTCAGATCCGTGAGATACTTTAACATAAGGCATTTCAGCGCCTTTCCATAGCGGAGTCAATGCACTCTGATTCAAGTCATAGAGCCTTACTCCCGTGAATGTAGGGTCCATCGTTCGTTGTGTCCATTTAATCATGTGGTATCCAAAATCAATCGATGAACAGGTAAAAAGTAGATCTCTCAAGATGCGGGAAACTCGAAAATAATGAACTGAAATATCAGGATCCTCAGAATCTTTTTGTGATACGTAGTTGGTCAATTCTTCTTCAAAGTCTGATGCCGAGTATAGATCAAATAGTTCTGTATATTGTTCTGTAGTCATGGCATGCGCGAATGATTTCATAGAGGTTATCATATCTTCCTCGGATTGTATGAGATGTCCAGGGCCAACATTCATGGCACCATCATCTTGAGTCCACCCAAACATCATATTAGTGCCTAGACTGAGTTAGAATACACGATGCCTTGTGATTGTTGACGCAAATAATAGACAACCTACTTTTTACAAATCTACCCTCACGCATCATAGTCGAGTACCGATCAGGTAGAAAATCATCATCAACCGAAGGAATAAAGGTAAAGAGACCGGAAGGCGGATGATTTGACACGGAATACTCCATTGCAGAATCAATGAGATCTTGCATAGGAATATTCCGCAAGCATGAAAGAATCTCCGAATCCACAAGTCCTCCACAACCGACTCTATCTGCCACAACTCTAGTGTGATGTTCAGTTGCATCACTGGTCATGTTTAGAGAAGTGCCAGGCGGTCCAGACATAATCCATGCTTGCTGAAAGGGTACACCTTTCTGACCACTATATGCCATTATCTGAAGCGAGGTCATAGTACCACCGGCACTCAAGCCATAGGCGGTTATACGATTTGGATCACCGCCGAATTCTTGGATGTGATCTCTAATCCATTTGAACGCCTCACGTTGATCTCGCATACCAAGATTGAGAGACTTCTCGTCTTTTAATATAGGTAGTCGTGGGAATCCAAAAATACTCAGACGGGAATTCAGAGCTACAAAGATTATAGGATTTCCGTCGGTGACGGATAGTGAGATGAGTTTGTTGGGGGAGATGTGGTCATCATGGTTAGAGCCTTTGATGACTCCTCCCTCGGCATTGTATACAACGACTGGGAGATTGCTTTTTGAGCTTATATCTAATCCACTTGGTCGAGCAATGTGGAGGTGTAAACAATCTTCACTGATTTCTTCAACTGCAGAGAAGAAAGGCGGCATAGGATCTTTGATTTGAGGACATGCTGGACCGGGTAAAGAAGCATCTATTATGGTACCAGGAGGGGGCGTAAACGGGTTTGGAGGCGCGAAACGGTTAGGTCCGGATGTATCCGCAGCATATTTAACATTGTGGAAGTGTTCGATATTGTTTGAGATGATTCCCCGGTAGGTTACTTGAGATTCTGAGAAAATTGCTTCGGGGGTGGATGAAGATTTTATCGCGGAGGTGATCGAAAGGAAGCCTAAGATCAGGGACGCGGGGATGCGCCAAGTAAACTGCGATGATTGATTCATGATGATATGAAGGGAGAAAGAGTAACACTTTCGAGAGATTGATTTGGGTGAAGTGCGACATAAATGAGTGTAGATTCCTCGGTGATGTGCAACTGTTGTAATCTGACATTTAACCAACAGTCTACCAACAGCTTGTCCAATATATCCACTTTCTTGCATTTGACTTCATTTTCGCTCCTCTAATACATCTTCGTTCTTCGCTTCATGAACGATAACAACATATCGCAGAAACTCGCCTTATACTCTCCAGCCAATTTTCGTTCCACCCTCGAGAGGTATTAAGGACCTTTTCAAGCACAGATTTTAACTATATATAAAGGACACAGCACTCCTGAGACTCTGTTAAAGTGTTTCGTCACAGTGATATAGTCTTGTAATCATTCAAGCTTTGCTCGAAAATCTTAAGTCAGAGCACCGGAAATCATACCGGATGAGTAGACACCGAGGATGGAAATCTTGTCGTCATTGTGCAGTTTCGTTGCCATTAAAGAAACGTAGGTACCACTAATATTTTTTATAATATTGCTTGATTTACGACCTTGTCGATATTGTAAATTCCAATCTTGGTCAAGTGAGCCATCTTGGAATGAATTTTCCCTTCGAACTTACTTCAAGTCCATAAGCTAAAGCGGAAGTGAAGTCAACCCATATAAAAGCATTCAATTTATTTTCATATTTTGGGATTCTGACTCTGATCACAAATACGAGGTGAGAGAGCAGACCCGTAAGATTCAGCACAAATACCTTAATTCCTCCCACATCACACAATATAAAGAGCTCCCCAATCCACACTCCCTTCTACATAATCAAAAATCTCAGGTCAAGGTTCCCAACGCCTTCATGGCATCCCCACTAAGCCAAACCCATTCCCAACATTCAAGAAGCAGAATCATGTACAAGAAAAGGCCAGGAAAGACAGAGAAGTTGAAATAACACTCTAATTTAACGCTATACTTGACAGCAAGATTTAAAAATTTATCATTATCAATTCTCTCAATCGCCACTGGGCAGTGTTTGTTGTCGTGTCTAACAAGGAACCTTGATTCATACTAAATACACATTGCTATTCGCGTATAGTTTCAAAGACTCCAGGAGGTTGATATATTGAGACAGAACAAGTTTGCGCGGCTTTCCGCTCCTCGACCTCGGTTCAGAATTCCGCATGGACTCCCCGATTCTCTTGTATCTCTTCAACAAAGAGCGAGGTGCAGTTGAGAGATAGATTAATATAGAGGAAAATAGAGAATGAGGTATAAATTACAGATTCACTCTGCGAAAGGGTCATAATTTTGAAATATAGGCTGAACTTTATGTCCAGGATCATCTTGATTCGAGAAAGCCTTAATAAGATACTGTACAACATACTAGTTCTTCCTGTAAAATTTCATGCCTCTAAAACTTGTGTTCAAAATCATCCCGTTATCTCGCAACAGATTGTCTAACCCGATTTAATATCAACGCCTTGCAACTATGCAATCAAAATGCACCCCCTTATTCAATGCCAAAACTGTTTCTAACAGCCACTCCGAATCTCTCAATAGCCTCTGTCATCTTTTCCTCAGATGCAGCAGCGAATGTGGCGCGGAAAAACATATCTACTGGTACAAAGCCGTCTTTCTCAGCTGTGAACCAACTACCTGGACAAATGAGAACTCCTTGGTCAATGCCGGAGAGGAAAATTTCTTGCTCGATATCTCCGATTGACTTGGTTTTGGCAGCCGGGTGTTTATGCCAATCTACCGAGAGCCAGAGCTGAAATTCGTTAGTCAATTCCTATCAAATTTGGGTTCATGAAATACTTACGAACATGCCGGCAGATGGTGGGTTCCAGCTTACGATATCCTTGGGCAAGTATTTTTCACATGCGGCAAGAATAACATTTCGGCGCTTAGTGTATTCTAATCGAAGGTTGATCAACCATTGAAGATAACCACCATGTCCCCAGCTTTCATCAAGAATTTTGTAAAGAACCATTTGAGAGATTCCACTTGGGTTTTGGTTGGAGTTCTCATTGGATCTAATAAATCTCTCGACGATTTGCTCGGAAGCAGTGATCCATCCTACTCTAGTACCAGGTGCAATTACTTTGGAGAAAGAATCCATTCGCATTACTCTTCCATCAGTATCAATGCTTAGGTAGGTTGGAATGAGAGCTTTCAAAAATTCATCATTATTAGCGGGTGGAGGGACGTCGGGAGCATCTGGTCCTGTGTATGGTTGCATTTGGAGGAAATAGTAGGGTTCATCTTCTATGATGTATAAATCGTGCTTTTGAGCAATTTTGTAGATAGCATGCCGCCTCTCGGTACCTTGAGTTGCACCGGTAGGGTTTTGCCCGGAAGGTACAGTGTAAAGAACGAATGGCTTTCTAGCCCCCCTTGCCTGTTCATCCCAGTTGCTCAAAATTTCATCCAAGGGTTCTGGTAAAAGACCTTCAGCATCCATTTTGACACCCAAGAATTTTACACCAAGAGGAGCGGCAGTCTCGACAGCAGAAGCAAAAGTATATTCTTCAGATAACACAAAGTCGCCTCTTTCACAGAAGATGCGGAATGTCTGCTCCAAAGCTGAGGTATTTCCGACAGTGAGGGAACAGCCCCAATCTGCATAAGGTGGGTTGCAAACGATTTCGGTATGTTCTGTTACCCATCGAAGCATCTGGGCAGATCCTGAACCTTGTCCATAGTTGAGTGCGATAGATAGATCATATGCTCCCTTGCCCTCAGACACATCATATTTCCCAGCAGTTAAGATGGTTCCAGATTCTTTTGTTTGTGCTTCCGAGAAGTGAGGTACTGTAGGAACCTTGATGGATAGCTCTTCGATTGGGAAATAGTCGGGACATGGTAAACCTCCACCAAGAGAAATCATTCCAGGGCCCAAGTATTTAGCGGCGCTTTTTAAGTTCGATGGTTTTCTTGATCTGCTCTCGAGGGAGATACGATCTGCGAGTAATTAGTCAAAGTGCATGTAGATATACAGATTGAAAGGGTGACATACGATCAAATCTTTTCGCCTTTGGTTTCCATGTTGACTGTGACTCATTAGGAAATGACCAATATCTCTGGGGTAGAATGTACCAACCGGACTTTTGAAATGATCACTGGTAGTAAATGCTGCGACACCCGCAACAAATTTCCCAGCCTTTGCCCTTCTTGCAGAAACTCCATTGACAGTCAATGGATCAGGAAGGACGATAGCTTCAGTGTCGACTACACCCTCAACATCAATTGCAGTTGGAGGGGCCATCTTCTCTTATCTGACTTGATCTGAGTTGTAAAAGTATGTGGAGGAAAGTAAATGGAAAGGAAAGATATGTTGAAGAGGTAAAGACTGAAAAGATCTTTGAGGAATGACAGAGAAATACGGTGAGTTTATACTTGATGCGACTTCCCGTTGTTGAGTATGTAGTTTGCAAGGGTCGAGACAGTTGTTCAACGGGTGTCAAATCGAAGGGCGTAACTCTCCTTCGTAATCTTATGGAGGAAAATAACTTACAAGAAAAGGATGTGGAGACGGAGGACGGGAGACGGGAAAGTTGAGACGTAAACGAAGTGAGAAAGATAACAATGTGACTACCATTCGCATTATATGTATCATGTATACCTGAAGATCATAGAAATTATCATGTAATTATCAAGTCATCAAGTAATGTTTCCACCTTGAAAAGAGTCAGAGAGTTATCGTAGAGAGTTAGAGAGTTTTACTCGAGCAGAGGGGCAGAAGGGAAATGTTCAGATTGCCGGTATCGCTGGGTATTTGAGGAAGGTTTAAAAGACGCTTATCGCGATAGAAGCCGTAGATAAGCGATACGACCTTTCCTTTTTTGGATTAGCCTACGCGGGTCAATTCCATATTGTGGCATATCACTGATCAGTGATGACTGGAATGAAATAAGGGAAGGAAAGATTGGAGGCTCGGAAGGAGGAAGGAGGAAGGGAAATGTCACCGTTGCTTGCATGTGTTGGCTTGCGAAGATTGGCCAATAATGAAACCTTGGCTTTAGGGCTGCTGATTGATTCGTCGACCGACTGCCTGGTAAGGGAGAAAGAAAGGAAGGAAAGAAGGAAGAAAGGAAGTGTAAAACAGTCTTGGTGGAATCAGTACCTAATAATTTTATGTAACCCGAGTGTTTAAACATTGGGGTCAGACAGCATTGGGGAATATTGGCACATCAAGCAGTGTATCCAGCAGATATCCATTTATAACCCATGAATCCATAGCAAAAATGGATGTGGATAGAACACAGCATGTTGACCATATCCAATAGAACATCAAGGACCGCGAATTTGATGTCACCTCTTAGAAGTATCGTCATTCCCCTTGCATATGACTACATGTAGTTAAAAAGTCCTGAAAACCGTGTGTATTTTCTCCCTTTCTACTGACGGAGGTCGAGCAAAGAGTGTTACGGAGAAGAAAGATCAAGATCAATCAATTATTAGTAGAGTGATTAATACATGTAACTGACTACCTAGTGATTGACTGACATGCGCAAAAAAAATGCAAAAAGAAACGATTTGTAGGGAATTGAGCCCAACGCGGGGGTCGAACCCGCAACCTTGTGATCGACCTAGAACATCTTTCAATGGATAAGAGTCACACGCTCTACCGATTGAGCTAGCCGGGCAGGCTGTTTGCTCCATTTGTTGGAAACAATTGACGGTGTGACAATATATTACCTTGACACGGAAAAAAACTTTTCGTGCGTCAATAGAATTACTCGCTCTCCGTAAGCGAGTCTTTCTACAGTGCTTGACAGTTTCGCAGCTTATATCTTCCAATAAGTTGACAAAAGTCGAGAATATTGTCAAACAAACATTTAATACGTCCCTATTCGTTTATCAGAGTATTTGTGTTCATTTCCTGTTGATTCTTAATCAATTCAAATCGCTCATTGAAACCAACTAAAGACTCCGGTCACCATTTTCGCTACATGCGGGTGTTGTGCACGAGTGGCGGGGAGCTTTGAGATGTCTTCCTCAAACATTATTGCGCTTTGAAAGTCTGATTTTAAAAATTCGCATGTTCTTAATGGCTGCGACGTTTTGATACTTTTCAGAGCATTGATATTCGCACTATTGTGTGTGAATGACTGAACGGATTTGGATATAAGCCTTATACTTTAGTGGAGTAATGAGCTTCTAGTACTCATAATTTTTTTGCCTCTCAAAGAGTGTTGACAGTTAACACACAAACAATCTCATCAATCTAGATTGCGGGAGTTGGCGGCTACAGTACAAGAGGTCAACCATGAAGTTCAAGTTGGACAATGGATACTTCAAGATGGTGCCTATCACTTTCTTCTATCATACAGTCTAGATCACTAAATTCAATCTCATCCTCTCCGGTGCTTAATAGATGCAACCTCAACGGTAAACCCGCGCCTGGAACCAATTATTGCCAGTTATTGATATTTTCGCGTGTTTATACCTCTTTTCTTTGTATTGTTTTTTGAATTGCTCTACCGAAACTGATATCCACTTAATATGCATTCAGGGTCAGTGGGTCCGCACGTGTATTCCAATTCAGCTGGGTGTGGTACCCAGGAACATTCCATTTCGAGGTTCTTTACCCATGCAAATGCTCCGTTGCCGAGGCAAATGTTCCCTTTTATATTCGAGTATGGGGAAACTGTTCTAGAAAAGTTAATGGGCTGAGTATATAGACCACCTTCAATAATACTAGCTCCATACTAGCTCCTCCGAAAGTATAATTTTTGGGACAGTGACCACGAATGCACCAGGGGTATCTATCCTTACGATTGAAGAGTTCACTTTTTTGACAGCATCAGCATCAGACTTCAGCTCTCTGAATATCCTTCTTCGAAGTCTCATATCCTGATATGTATCTTTGGACCGAGTCTAGAGAGACAAGCTTATCCAAATCCGAACTCGGACAACAAAAGTATTTCTTCAATTTTCCTCATTTCGGCGACTTAGACCGCTGCGTTAGCTGCTATTAGGATACGGTGGTACTGTGGCTTGCGTTCAAAGAATTGTCGACTGGAAATCACTCATGTGTGATCATGGAATCCAGGAGTATAAATAGGGCGCCGGCTTTATCTGTTCTGTAGAGTTCAGCAGGCGCCTCATTCTTCTTTTGTTTTGCTTCCACAGAGATTGAACGCACGAATAGCTCTGCCATTATACAATTATAAACTATCATGTTGTCTCTATCTCAGAATTGGCGCTCTTGTATAGCAGCGTTTGCTCTCACGTTTTTGGTTATCAACGCCTCTCCTGTACCTGGTCAGACTTCTAGTGTCTTAAGTGTTGTTTCAGCATACAATGGAGCCACAACTATTACCGCAAGCACTCAAGTAAACTCATGATACCTCATCGCCACCTTTCATTGCTAATTCATCTTGTAGGTCGTCACTTACGCCGCTACCACGACTTCGACTAGTGGTACGTTGACCTGCACGAAAGCTGGAACCTACAGTATTGGAACGAGCACAACGGTTGTCTCGAAACCCACAAACATTCCATGGACGGCACAGGAAGTAATCTACGAGTATTGTCCATTTTCCGTATTTACTCTTTTTAGCTGCGCTGCATGTCCGCGCCTCATTACTGTCGAGAAGTGCTATCTTGGTTATTGTGAAGTCAGTATCGAACTACGAACTCCTTCTAAGGGTGTTACCAGCACCAGCACCTCGAGTGCCAGTTCAACAAGTTTCGTTATTGGTATTGGGTATTTGGAGCCAACAGTAACGACCACTAAGGCTCTTTCTGCTTATGCTACGGGATACACATCAATTATCCCAGCTAAATTGCTTGCAGCTGGAACTGTTATTGTTGGATCTCCAGTTCCTTACGTCACTTCGACGACTTACCTTGATGATGGATCGCAAGCTTATACTTCAACCATTGGTGGTACCATTTTGGATGCCATATCAGTTACAACCATCACTTATACCACTACTGTATCAGCCTATGACTCGGCTTATACCTCCACAATCTCCGCAAAAAAACTCAACGCCTGGAACTGTAATTGTGGCAACTCCGGCACCATTTGTTACTTCAACTATCTACCTCGACAATGGGGAATCTGCTTACACTTCAACTATTGGTGGAGATGTCAATATCGGAGTTCCTGTAGGCACTGTTACAACCACCACATTTCTTCCTACTGGTGGTATAGCTTTCACCTCTACAGTCCCCGCAGCTGGACCTACTTCGGGAACAGTCCTTGTTGGATATGTCCAGAGTGATGTTACTACTACTATCACTGGATCCGTGGCTGCCACGAGTACTATAGCTCCCTCTGGCACAATTCCAGGTACTATAATTATTACGGTACCTACACCCGATGTAAACTGCAACAACATTGGTGTACAATTCGCAGCTTTTGCTGAAACTCCCCAAATCATCAACTCTGCCGGAACATACGCGAATTTTAATCCCGCCATTTATAAAACCCAGACTGCAGAGATTACTGGCAACACCACTGCTGTCAGTTATAGCGTCACAACCTACACAAACACTGCTGTATCTGTTTATGGTAGCACCCAAAAGCTCAACGACTTCTATCTCGTCATTGATAATCGTGGATACCTCTTCGCTCAGATGACTGGTACATATACCTTCTCCACGACATCAGCCGATGATATTTTCTTCCTTTGGGTTGGAGCTAATGCATATTCCGGTTGGACTCGTGCTAATGCCGATTTGATTGCAACATTGACTTATCCATCACAAACATTCACAATCGATTTGGTTGAAGGGGAATACTATCCGATGAGATTCTTGTGGGCAAATGGTGATGGACCTGGTCTCTTTGCTTTCTCGGTTACCGCCCCTGATGGAACTATTATCTTGGATGGTAACACCGTTGCTAGTCCTTATGTAGTACAGTTTTCGTGTGATGGTACTTCAGCACCTGAGTATCCTGCTTGGGGCGCTGAGAGTTAGTTGTGCTTGAATTATCATTTATGTTTTGAATGAGGGCTTCTACTTTTGATGTGGAATGATAGGATGGAAGAGTTATGGCTGATGAGAACTGTACTCAATTTTGGGGGATAATTAGAACAGGAACTCATGAACTTTGAAGACTAATCTATCCTTGTTAATTTTATACTCATATTGACAACACTTAGAAAAATTGACTTCCCTCGAATCGTAAGTATCACTATCTGATACTTATATTTACTAGTATTTTACTTCCTTCAGACCTGATCGACCATATGAATTGGTTGGCTTGAGGTTGGGTTGATCGATAGACCTTGCCACTAGCTTTACGCACAGACCACCAATTGACAGACATGCTCTCATTCATTTCATCATCGACATCCAAACATTAAAATAACAGACTCTAATTGACTTCATCAACTTCATCAATTTATGATATTCAAGTTCTCTTTCAACATTTGCTTTCGATTATTCATTGCATACTTGCATTAATGTGCCGATAATTGATAATCTCGAGACGTGGCATCATGCACTTGGGCGTACTTAGCTCTTAGGTGTTGATATCGACATTCGAGATGACAACAACCAATACATCGGATCTACGTGTGGTAAAATGAGATGAGACCATATCATCTATACTATCAAGCTGTGGTAACAAGTTCGAACGATACTTCTGGGAATACTTTGCCATCATGCTCCTTCTGTCCATTAGGCCGTCGGTCATATCGCTGGAGCGGTCACCCAAGAGACAACACGACTACATGACGACTACAATCGGGTTCTTCCCGTGTACCTTGAGCTATTGACATTCGGACTCGATACAAGCTAGTAAGAGATCAACCAACGAGGAAGGTATACAAGTGTTCTACCAAATTCTCGAAAGCTGCCTCTTCGTCATGATCTATCTGTTCAATTGTTCCTGAATGATGGCGATATCCCCACATTTAAGCACCATTGTGGGTCCCTGGCATATCATACCCACACGACATCAGATTGTCAAAAGAGACCACCAAAAGGGAGGCCGCTGAAATGAACTGGAAGTATTTTGGGTTCATGTTGGAAATATGGCAATCCATTTTCAAAATGGTTACCAGTCTAGATACCAAGTGGATGATAATGGATGTTTCTGAAGATTCCAACCAGCAATCTTATCTGGTCCAACGTTCAAGTGATATTGGAGAGCTCGGACGGTCTACATCCACCCATGGACTTTCCTTCTTCTATCCCCACGCTTTAGCAAGCTAGATTATCTTTCTGAATAGCAAAAACTCTCACAACAAAAACCGGCCGGATGGTGTAGTTGGTTATCACGTGTCCTTAACAATTAACAGTTGTTAAAATACGGACAAGGTCCTGGGATCGTGCCCCAGTCTGGTCATAATTTTTGCATTTTTTCCCTTACTCTTTTTCCTAGTTGTGGTTGATAGCCAGAACGAAGAGAAGCCTTTTGTCACTTCCATTGAACTCACTTAAAGTGGGTTATTCGTAGGCCGTCCAAGAAATATCCGGAGTGAGCTTCAGACGAACAATTGGAAAATACCATCATTCTCTTATTAATATGCGTTGATAAGTTTTGACTACGGAGGGTTCTCGTCAGATAGAAATATACAGAAGGAATTACATCACCATGAAAATTAGTAGTTTTGCCAATGGGATTTTCGAGTTCGGAATAATAAAAGCAGGCCCTCTTTCGTTTGTTTCAGAATGATGTCGGCTTTGAGTTGTAATAAAGATGGATATTTCATCGGGACCACCACAAAATCATAAGATTTCCCTGCTGGCGCAATGGTAGCGCGCAAGACTTCTATAAGTAACTTCTGTATCTTAAAGATTATCTTGAGGCTACAGGTTCGAGACCTGTGTAGGGAGTTACCTACCCTGAGTACCATTGGTTTGAGTCCGATGAAGACACCTTTATTTTTTGCGTTTTTTACTACGTTTTTATTTTTTCACCATAGACGAAGAAACTTTATGGAAAACACAAAAATCTGCACTCGGAATAGCTGCTATCTCCAAAGAGCAAAAACAGCTTTCGAAGTTTCACACCCTTTCTTTGCTTAAAAATTGAACATCTTAAGAGCTTCAACATTAAACTCATTTTGTAGAAGCCTTGAATCTTCCGCAGTTTTGGCTTCAGTTATTTGGATACAAAGTAGCTTCTGAGGAAGAGCGGCCGGAACAGCTTTTTACAGCCAACATTAATCCTCTCTTCACGCCATAGTCAATTCTGTTAAACACTGGCGACTGTAAAATGAACCTCCAATCCACATGACCGTTTGTTCTCAAGTCGGATGTACATTCATTGTCCAAGTCGCCGGGTGCTTACCATCTGGTATGAGGATAAGGTCTCCGTCGTGTTCTAGTAGTCAACTACAATATAACCATTTTTGCAATCTAGAAATATCAATTCGGTGTGATAAACGCATTGAATCATGGCGGATCTTACGATCCACTCAATCAAGAAGTAGCTTGTTCGTGTGCGCGATGAGTGTTGGGTAGTGGTCAAGTGGGAGAGGGCCCATGCGGACAAATTGCTTTTTCGACGCTAGTCAGAAATTTTCTTCACTTTCCCCACCGCATTCAAGTAGAATCAAATATGAGCCAAATCAACTGAGAACACTTCAACAAATATAACAAAGCCCGCCCGGCTAGCTCAATCGGTAGAGCGTGTGACTCTTACGATTCAATATCTATGAGTTCTTCTGAAATCACAAGGTTGGGGGTTCGACCCCCCGTTGGGCTCAATTCCCTTCGATAGTTTTTTGCCATTTTGATCTCTCCTCCTCTTTTCGGGGTGCATATCGGGCAACAATGCTTACTTAGTGTCTGTATATCCTTCTTATCCGTCAGGATTAGGTATGTTTGGGACTTGAGTGTGCTTCTAGTTTTTGCACTTGGTATATGATCATTTTCCGTCCCCGCTTGGTCGATCATGGAATAGACATTTACTTTGGGGAGCAGGTATCGACCAAGGTGGGTTTAAAGATGAGTGGGAAGGAAGAGAAGGTTTATCCTTTTTGGCCTTGCGACATTGTATTTGTTACGATTATTCTCCATCCCCTCGAGCCCATCCACTCGAGCTGCGACGACTCTGTGCCACTATCTGATAAAAACCCCACAGAGTTTCAAATATATACCTTGTAATCGAAATAGCCTCCAATAATAAGCAAATATCTTGATGGTCTAACGGTCATGATTTCCGCTTGTCAATAACATTGCAAGTCGCGGGAGACCGGGGTTCGACTCCCCGTCGAAGAGTTCATTCATTGCAGAATTCCCGAATCTCATGTTCAAATTTCTTTTTAGCTTTATTTTGTTCGTGGAATTTTCCTTTTTTTTCTCAAGCGCAAGTTTTTAATATGTGACAAGATATCTTTGGATAACGTGTGCTTTGTTTTTTTTATGATAGTGCTATGTACACTTTTAACTTCCGGGACCGAATGTCCTTGGTTTATTTTGCTTTTTGTCCGAGTTTTTGCTTGCAACGCTAGGACAATGAAGGCCGATTCACAAGCTTGAGACGTAGCCCACAACCAAATTATTCTATGAGGGGATCATAGCGTTTGGCTGTACTACTTATCCTCCCAAAAGTCCTCCATTCACATACAACAAGCAATCCGGCATGGTGTAGTGGCTAGCATTTCCGCCTCTCAATCGAAGCTTCATTACTTCAATCAGGTCGCGGGAGACCGGGGTTCAATTCCCCGTACCGGAATTTCCTTTTGCCATCGTGAGAAGTATGTTTTTGGCAGGCTTTTGTCAATTTCTGAGTAACTACTCGTTGACCAATAATAAAAGTATTCAAATGAGATCTTTGAAGACCTATGTTATTGGTCTTGGTGGAAGAAGTCTTCTTCTTTCCCAACTTTTCCTACATGCTAATTTCTTATCTTGACGAGTTTTCTAGCGCCAAAACGTTTTTGCCCAAGTGGGGACATGGCTGGCGTACGTGGTCCACATGCAAAAAGAATACTATGTTTCAGGGCCTAATCCGGGATTGAACCGGAGACCTCTTACAATTTAGATTGGACAACCCAAAGCAAGAATTCTACCACTGAACTATCAGGCCTGTTGATATAATGTGGCGATGATAGGTATTGATATGTACGATAGAACAAGTTGGAGCGCCCTATTAGAGATGGGATCCACACTAGGGCCCTGTAGCAACATGTTCAAATGCTTGGGAACACTTCAGCACACATACAGTTTACTTGAAACATATTGATCTAGCATTCCGCTAGCAGTTGATAAGGAGCTAATAACTACCCTTTTCCAGCTGAGTAATTTCTGGATTCGAATTAAACCTAGTCTCTTGTATAATGAAATTCAATCTTCTGGTTATACTACTACTCATATCTTACCGTCTGCTGTTACTCTTTGAACTTGCTTCTGAATCTATTAAAGATATAGCGAAAAGGTAAAAGATATAAGGTTAGAATTTAGAAACGAAATTTATTATATGTGCTAGTCTGGTGTATAAAGAAGCTTCCGATCGTTGCAATCAGTCTGGGTATCTGTCTATATACACGATTTCAACTATATTGAGTTGTTTATAAAGATTGATTTGAATACAAAAGCGAGATCTCTATCTCTGGTTCATTGAAATATGTATGGTGAGTCGTCCTGGAATTCCAAGGGGCTGAAAGCACGCTTGATATATTTACATAAAAGGCACGCACACATGTAAACAGGTGTTGTGGTTTAGTGGTATAATTCTTGCTTAGGGATCTATCAGTCTTCATAGATTGATTCTCCATGTAAGAGGTCCCCGGTTCAATCCCGGGCAACGCCCATTACTTTTTTTATGGTGACAAGCTCCATCTGCGATTGTAATGTTCTTTGGGATGCGAGGGATGGTTGGGGAAGTCGTGTTTCGTGACATGTGGCGCACCGCCTGAACAGCCATCGGGATTACCTCGGGATTGTTAGCTCTCGGTGGAGGCAGACTCCACTGACGTAATACTGCCGACACCTTGCCCCCTCAAACTCCATCCTCGCTGCATCAGCTCCTCGTATGTCATTGCCACCCCTCAAGCTCAAGCTCCTCTTGTTCTCGTATACAAAGGCTGCAGGAGCCGTGGTCCAAGTGCAAGAGCATATGCTCCCCATCTTCAATGCTGTCCACTCCTCGATGGGATTTTTTTTCAGCTTGAACAACGGCATGTTGCTCTTTCCCGCAAGAATGCCCAACAACACTCACCTCTACCATGGAACACATACACCCAATGAGTAAAGGGCGTGGAATGGCTTGCATCGAGATCGAACATGCAGAGATGTTCGCTCGAGCTTTCCCAGGCGGACGACCTGGGAGGGCGCATGGAAAACCTGGGGATCATGAGCGACTAGAACGTCCCGGCGAACCTGGAGTTAACCTGGGCAGAGACTGTGGATGGGATACAAAACATGGATGACAACAACGATGTACCAGACTTTTCGAGATACTACCTTCACAATCTACCGGGAGACCCGACCTCTTACCAATCTGGTTTATATAGATGGGAGATGACCACGATGGGAACTCTTGATACACAAGATTATATTCTGCGTAATATGACGGACGGCGATGATAGTCAAAGACCTCTGTGATCTTGAAGCGAAATGGGAAATTGAGGGGTTTGTGAGAATGGAGATGGGGTTTGAAATCATTTTCTGCGAGGTCAGTGATGGGTTGGTTCTCGAAAGTGCCCATGAGGGACCAAGTAGCAAGTACCAAAGCTTCGAGAGGATGCCCCAGCTCGAGGTGCTAAGGGAGAGTTGATCAGGTATCCAGGCATAAGTTCAGCTTGATGACAGGATCTTATAATACCTTCCTCGCATTCTTTGGCCTTACAAACCTTATCACACTCGCTTCCACGAACAACTTCACGGGACTGCCAAACTATGCTTCTAGCATGGTGTTCGAGCTTTTTTCCGAGTCCGACTCGAGTTCTAGAGCGTTCCCTGCCGCTGAGAATCTCAATGTCAGATTCTTATTCCGAAATGGCATCGATTCTAATAATGGACCACCGAGTTCAACACAATGATGGAGGGGCGTGCTGTCATGAGTCCAAAGGCCTGGTGCTCTGCTTGTGGACAGACCAATGGATTCTGTTCTCAGAAGGAGTTTGCTCCTGGAGACGCGGAAGTAGTAACTGGAAGTTCCGGTAGCAGCGGTTCTGGCATGAGTCTCGCGGTAGCGGGTGTGATTGGAGCTTTTGTAGCTGAGGTGTTGTCGCTATTATTGGAGCCGTGCTATATCTTGTAATGAGAAGGAAGAAGTTGACCGCGGCTGCACCAGTGATTGCTAGGAAGTCGAGTAAGGATGGAGCAAGTTCGACGGATACCCCTGTTTGATTTATGCAAAGTAGACTTTCGATAGTGATAGGGCTTCCATCCAGAAGCACAAAGGGGTGGTTCGGGTAAAACGTGGCTGATGTGTAGTTGAAGTTGCTCCTCCGTGGACCAATATATATACAGATTTTGCGCACTTTATTTAAGCATTCATTCTCTTTGGGCGACAATATTATGTGGACGATCCGGGCTTGGTTCCCTAGTATTAGTTTTCACTTCCCCCATTCAAACATTAGAAGATTGAGGCTTTCAATCTCCCCAACCTGTATTAGCTGCGGTCGAATAAGGCCAGCTACCCCCCATGTATTATTGTTAGAAGCCTACAAAGCTCCTAGCCGTCTTAGATAGTCATAGACTCAGTGTAGACGTTAATTTAATCAATCAAGGACGAAGCGATATCATTCTCCCGCATTGCATTCCCCAAATAGATGCCTAGACGTAAGAACAATATGTTTGATTTGATGGAAGGCGAGAAAGGAAACAAAAAAAAATTTAAAAAAAGAGTAAGTCGCATTGAAAGTATACAGGAGTAAGGAGGTAGGAGAGTAAAGACACAGAGTTGCCATTCACACTATATTTCTTGCTCGCTTAGACATATTGCTGTCAGTTTCCAAATCATCCCGTTTTCGAGAACCTGGCCCGCTGGTATCTCCACTAATGTTTCTTTTCGACTTGCCAAATTCAGTCCATACCCGAACAACACAAACACTTCTCTGACGAATGTACTCGGCTTTGTCATTTCCAGAGTGCAGGGCGAAATTGCGAGCAACGCTACCTAACTTCACGAAATCATTTATCAAGAGCGAGTTGATCTCGGCATTATAGTGAAATGTGTTAGTCTATTTAATCAGCTTGATAATATCTGAAATGAGCTATTGGTTTTTTTCCTTCTATAATCCGAAAGTGTTGTCGGAATCGAACGGATTGTAGAGCAATATGGTGGAACACTAAGGTTTAGTAGTGTCAAATATTCGAGTATTGGATGTATGAATATAATTCTCAAGAATTGATAATTTAGTTATTAAGTGTTTATGGTTGTTAACCTTTGGGTTTATTATTATTGTTTTGGTTATCCAATCTATAAACTTCGATTCGAGCATTTTTGAAATTGCCAAATCATCTTTGAGTTGCTGATTTGGTTCTTGGGAATTCAAGTTGGCAAGAAGTGCTTCATTCGAGCCTATGTCAAGGGTCATGTTGATGCATCTCGAGTCCCCCTCGACATCCCTCAAGTCCACTCCGTCACTCGACGACTCTCCAGCGCCAGGAGAGATAATGCCATGCAATACCGGTGCAGGATCTGAGTTAACTGGAGTTTGATTCGGTGTCTCTGCAATTACCATTTCGACAGTGTTGTATGGTAGCTTTTCCATTTCGAGTGTGATCGGTGGTGACCGAGGAACCTGCACTTTCGATACTGGTCGAGCAGGATTATCGGTATATGGTGGCGGTTGTACGTCTTGTCGATCATGATATTTAACTTTATCCCATTCCGCCAATATAGACCCTTGTTGAAGGTACATTTCCTTCATGTCAGTTTTGTGTGTGGCGGCACCAGTGTTGCTTAAGCGCTTGCAAAGTTCTTTCAAACCCTCCCGCGCATAATCACTCGGTCTGATGCATACATTGAAGATGGACGTGTTAGATAGAGATTCGAGGCTACGAATCAATTGGTTTGTGCTGCCGCTGCAGGGCCTAAGGGCTAGTTTGGATGTACAAATCCGCGTTGAATCCGCTGAATATTCCGTTCTTTTTGAAAACGGATTTTGAATTTATATTTGGATATCAAATCGCGGATTCCATCAAATAATCCGCATTTCAATGAATTTAGTATATTTCAAGATAGAAAAGAAATGGATCATTCTAAAATAATACTAAATAATTTGTGTTTTTCACTAAATTTGTATGGGAAAACAAGGATGCGAATTGAAAACGAGGATTAGAAAAAGTAATCCTTGTTTTCAATTTGATAAATAATCTGTATTTTTATAGATTCTTATAGGCTTTTCACTTTATATCCATATAATATTATAATAATATTAGTACTTTAAATATCTAAATTTATAGAGTATCTTTATTTTTCTTCAAATCATTTCTGATTTCGATTTAGATTACTTTATATTTCTATTCTCTATATACTAGAATATATATAGCTTAGTTTAAAAGTAGATTCTTCAATATTCTTTTTATTATAGTTTTAGATTCTATTAATAATTTAGATTATAAACTGCCTTTTTCTTATTCACAATAAACAACAATAAGGTTAATAATTCTAAATAATTTATTTCTATTTTGATTTATAATTTAGCTACTGTTATTAGCTCTTTTTATTATACTCCAATTTCAAAAAAAAGAATTGGTATTCCTAATGAATTTAAAACACAATCTCTTTTTAATTCTAAATACCCTTAATATTATCAAGAATAATTGTATATGTCTCTATATACTTTTCGATTTTTGATTAAGTTTTGTTATAAAAAAACAAAGCTATAACACTTTCAATATATTTCAATTAATCAAAAGCTATATGTGTTTCTCTATATTGTAGATTAGTGTAGAACTATATATAATATAGCTGAAGCCTTTTTTTATTTTAAAGAAACAATTTATAGATATAAAAAACATTTTATATAAATCTATTTATTAGTTTATTCTAATATATTTTAAAATGATTTTATTAAGTTTTAGATATTATAATAATATTATACCTATTAGTAATAAAGCTACCAAATCTAACTATACAATTCGCTCTTTCTCGAATAGTAGAAGATAAAAAATATTGTATATATTTTGCGAATTGCCTAAGAGCTCTCGATAGTATCTTTATTCCAGTAATAATATCTTTCGAAGATCGATCTGCTTATTTCAATTAAAAAGAATATATTGTATAGAATGTTCTTATAATAGTTATTTTTAATTTATAATTCTGCTATATATTAATTAATTGAAAAGATTCTGTAAATAATCAAAAAATGCTTTCAAATACTTTGATTTCAAAAGGTTTATAAATTCCAGAAGGTTATTATTATTTAGGTAATACAGGATATATAAATACTGGGCAGATTCTTATTTTATTCAAAGAAATAAGATATTATCTATAAGAGTAATTGGAATCCAATAAAACATTTAAAATATTAAAAGAGCTTTTCAACCTTCGATATTTTTCTTTATTATTATTTATTTATTTATTTATTTATTTATAGTGATTAACGTCTAATATCTGACCTCCCTAGGGGTATTCTAGATGTACTAAGGAGCGGGCCTACAGGCCACTAGCATTCCAGCTGCTTATAATAGTGTAATATTAATTAATCAAAAGCTTATTGCCTCTAGTATTCCCCCACTCAGTATCACTCATAGCGATCCTGCAGTTGTTCTGTCTAAAGGTTTGTAGTTCTATTTCAGAAAGCCTTGTTTCGTATATCATCCAAATATCAGCAAATAATCAGATCGATCACTATCGATCAGAAAAATACTCAGAACGCTTATAGCTATTCGGTACAGATCTTAGATTGATTGGAATGGAAAACTTATTCTCGAAGTATTAGAGCAAATTGGAATTCGTATAGTTTCGTATAGTTTGAGTATATTCTAATATAGAATCTGGATCTAGTGAGAAGATCAATAAAACTATATTATATTCACAGGACACAATTAATATATACTATCACATCCCATTTGGATTGAAGTCGATTTGGTACAAGCAGTTAGTCGCCATGCATTCGATTATTGATTGAACATTGAAAGAAATGCAGTGAGCTTTTCTCAATCCTATATATACAGATATTCGTGCTATTTTCGTAATTGAATCTGATGTAATAGGCTGCAAAGTCACTATATCCGGTTCGCATCGCTATGAGTCTGTGTAGTACCCCGCGAGAGAGCTTGAGGCTTTCCGGCTCCGAGGTATCATATACCGGTTTCCATGCATTGTACGTTTCGGAGATCAGGCCCCTCTTTATTATTATTATTATTATTATTATTATTAGTAATTTTCAACCGGGCCGTATAGGCGAACCTCCCAGGGGGCATTACAGTTGGGCTAACTGCGGGATGATCTCTAATTTACATGATTCCCCTCTCCTAAGAGTGGGGTCTCAATACCCTTAGTAGCCTTCCAAGCGATAGCTAGCACACTTGCGCTTTTGTCTCCAATCCTTTGAACACCTTCATACATGCTTTCCGATCTTTTATATAATGTTTTAATTGAAAGCTGCTTTATCCTGTAAGGATAGCTTTTGTATATATTCTAGTGCAACACAGTATATTGCATATATCGATTTTGTTCTTTATAGCCTTGCTATATCGGTCGCCTCCTATTCTATATTTGTGTTTACCCGAATCGGTCGATCCATTTCCATTTCCTCTTTCTATTCTTCTGATAATGTTCTAGGGCATATACTTTTGTAGAAGTCTATTATAGTAATAAATTCAGTAAACTTGGCTGGTGTATGTATTAGCTGTTTCAATAGTCGTTCTTGAGCCACCCGGTTGCAGAGTGGGTATTTGGGCCTGATATCTGGGGGCCAGGTTTTGTAGATCGCGAGGACTTTGCGGCAGTGCACGATGTGCTCGGGGGATTTGTATGCGCCACATATATTTTTCTTTATAAAATGAGGTTGAGAGAATTTTTGGAATATTCAAAATGCACTTTCTATTTCTAATATAATAATAAAAATATCTATATACAATTCAAATATATATAGTTTATGCTTTGTATACTTTATATAACTTTATTTGACAAAATAGCTTTAAAGAAGATTTATTTGAAATTCAATTTGATTATATTATCGATTGTATTCCAAGTACTATGAATAATATAATAATGAATTCAAATAATAACAAATTAAACTCTATTTTATTACAATCTATGGACTACTTTCGATAAAGAATTGCAAAGGCTATATAAAAAGATTATTATAAGATAAAAAGAATTCGAAAAGTATAAGAAAAAGAAAAGCAATATTGTATTGAAATAGAATTTGATAAGTACATGTAATTAGAATAGAAAGTAATTATCAGGGTTTCTTTATTTATTATTATCTTCTACTATAGCTTTTAGTGTTTCTTTAAATTCTTTAAAGAATTGAAAGAGATCTTTTTTCCATTCTATATAATAAAATAGATTCCAAGTTCGCTTATATCTTATCCCATCTTTAGAAATCCAAAATCCATATCTTTTTGGATTATAGCTTTTATTAGAGATTTACCATTCTTTAGATCTAGGAAGCTTAATATTACTTCTCCCTTTAGCTTTAAAATATTAAAACTCCAAAAAGCAAGAGTTCTTTAAAGAGTATATTCAACAACGGAATATTTTAGGAAAAAGTTTATTAGGAGACAAATCTATGTTATTAATATATTAAATAATTTAATATAATAATAAATAAGGGATAGTAAATAAGAAATGATTAGGGAGAAAGAGTTAATAAGAAAAAAGTCAAAATAAATCTATTTAAACAAATCTTTTATCCATAAAAAATCCAAAAATTCTTTATCAATTTTTTCAATTTAAACTCTTTAAATTAATTATAAATTATTCTATATTAGGTTTTCAAATTCTAATCCAAATCAAAATCCCAAAAAGTCCAATTATTTAAATTTATATATTAGCATTTATAAAACCAATAAATATTATATCTTTATACTTATTTTAATTCTTAATTATATTCAAATCTTTCAAATTAATCTTTTCAAGTTTTTTAACTTTATTATTCTTTTTTTTATTATTAGATTCCTCTTTTCCTTTTTTTTTTTCTTATCAATATCGATTTTTCAATTCTCAAAATCTATTTCGGAATTATCTAATTCAGACTCTGATATAAAGTTATTGTTATTTTGAATAAAGTTTTTTGCCTTTAATACTTTTCTAAATAAAGTTAATTAAAATCAGATTTTTATTTAGATCTATATACTAGAATTATTATATTTCGATATTCAATCGAGTTTATACAATTATTTCATCTTATTTATTCTTTAATGTTTTTAAAAAATCAGAAGTTTTGTAAAGCACTTCAAAGTGTAGAAAATCTGATGCTTTTTCCTATCTTTCTTTTTTTCAACTTTTAACTCTTTAAATATCATTCTTGTTTTTCGATTATATACATTTCTAGCTTTTTGTTTTTACAAATATTCTTCTTACTTTCCCTATAGCTTTTTCTTATTAGATTTAGTTATTATTGGTATCTTTTTGATTTTTTAAAGCTTAAAAAAGATTCAATATTATAAATATAATGCTTATTATTGTTATTATTATTGTTATTTCTAAAAGTATGTTATTTATACTGTTTATAATATTTTTATATTCAAAATAATTATATTTTATAAGAAATAAATAGTATAATCAATTGAATTATACAATATATAATATATTAATTTACAAACACATATTTCTAAATATTTAATTTTTCAATATTTATTCCTTTCACTCTTATTCTTAAAGCTTTTTAGATATATATCCCTTAAATATTTGAAACCTTTTTTATAATAAATTGAAATAATTCAAATCTAGGTTTTGAAAGTACTATATTCC